AGTGGCCATCAGAATTGGAATGGAATTTCGGATAGAACTAAAAATATAATTAAAAAACTTTTCAACTTAGTGCTGATACCGGTGACCACTGCATGACTGGGTAGTAAGTAATTACAATATACTGTATGTAATTTTTTACTAATGTATACATTTTAATATAAATATTTACCAGAAATTACTTTTAAATAATACTATTTAGTTAAAAACACAAAATTTTATCTTTAAACGCGCGTTAAAATACAAAAAATAGGACTCTAAACACACGTTAAAATATAAAATTTATATATTAACCGGTTATTAACCGGTTAGCCTCATTACAAATTAACTGGTTAATTAACTGATTAATTAACCGACTATTAACCGGTTAGATGCTCTAATTAACCGGTTATTAACCGGTTAAGCTTTTTTTTTGACGGTTCCAATCCCTAATACATCAATAGAACTAAACTAACAAATATTGAACCTACAACTATTTGCTCTTTAGATGGATCTAGACACGTAAAATTTGGTTAATATATTGATTATATCTCTTAGTATATTCAGCTGTAATTTATTTTAATTTTGATGAATGTTTACTAATTGCTCATTTATTTATTTTTTTCTTTTTAGGGATTCTTCGAAGTACCTTAACTATACTTTTTATTAGCGATGCAAATATTCTGGATTTATTAGTATAAACAGACTTGAGGTTAGAGGTCATAAGCTATCCCACCAGCTGGCAAAGTGTATGAAATTTCTTTTAATTCACAAAGAAAGCCTTGCTAAAGTCATCTTTAGTGTAGGTCTAGTAATACATTGCCTTAATAATTGAGCATGGCTACAAAGTTTATGATTCCTAAACTATATATATATATCATATATTGATATTATATTTTAGCATATTTCTCTAATTTTATATTTGCATATTTTTTACATATAGAATATGATATTCCATTAATTAATTTTCACCATATAACAAAGATATTGCAAAAATACGCTAGTTGAGCAATTTATTGATATGAGAGTGATTGATCAATGTATAGATTCTTAAAATCATGCGAAAATAGTTTTATGATCCTAATGATAATTATATAAATTCAAATGCTGAAAGTAATTAGTAATAGCACGAATCATTAAATAGTACAAATTTCAAACAAATTTCAAAAATCCATATTAAAATAATTGTACAATTTCCATTTAATAAATGTTAGAATTTAATAACTTTATAAAAAATCTACAATAATCATACATTTAAGTTTACAAAATAAAATTTAAATATCAGAATATTAATAATGTTATGAAAAGCCTACAATAATCATATGATTAAATTTTATGAAAAAATGTGATTTTATTCAATTATACAAATACTAAACAAAAACTAGATGATTATTACAAAAATAAAACAAAAACTGCACGATTTTTATACAATGACTTTTTACTGCGCAAATTGGGATAGGCAATAAACCCTTTTCTAGATAATTATTTAAAAAATCACAGGTATTCAACAAATTTTTAAAAATTAATTATTTTTAGGGGTATTACAATGTAATTACATCAAAAAATTGAAACAGTTGATAATATACAATAAAGAACAGATTATTACTGCTCATGCCATCTGCATTCTCATCATTTGTCTCATTGTTTCTATTTGTATCATCATCCTTATAATCCATATGAACTTCTGAATCTGACCTATTCTTTTCAACTGAATAGGTGAATATTGCAGAACCTTGTATTGATTGTTGCTTTTGATTAGTTCACATATATGGCCTCTCATTATATGTCATCTTGTAATCATGTACCCATGAGATAGAGAAAAATTGGTAACCTCCTAAACTTTCATGTCATATATTAACATTATTAGATGTGTCCCACAACCTAATATTAAAAGGTATTCAGATGTTGTTTCTTTGGTCATCTTTGAAATATATCCTCACCACTCCATGGTTTATTCTTTTTAATTTCATATTTATGTTTACTCCAAAACTTACAATATTAGTATTATTGTTTCTGTTAATTTAATTAAATAAAGTAAACAAAGAAGTATATTTACTAATTTTGTATAGAAATTTAATGATCAGATCAACAACCCTATGAAAACACAATTTCCGTAAAATGTATGTAAAAAAATGTTATTTAACCATATATTATTCGAAATATCATTATTTGTTTATTATTTAAACATAATTTTATTTAATGCAATATTGAATATTCGTAAGTTGTATTGTAAATATAAATAAGCACTAATTTAATGAACAAATAACGTTCAAATAACATGTTTAAACATAATGTGAAATGCAATTGTTACATAATAAGGTCAATTTATGTATAGTAAATTCCTATTGTAAAAGTTATGACTTTTATTTCCTTTTATATTGTCGTTTTTTGGCAGGTTTGCTTGAATTATTACCTTCATCAATTGGACGTTTTTCAACATTTGTCTTTTTACGAGAAGATCTACGAAGTGTTGGCTGCGGTGTTGATTTTCTAATGTTAACAGAATAAATATTAATAAAATCAATTATTTATTACACATTTAAAAGATACATACGAATTTGAAGATTTATTTGGCAATTTGTTCTGTTTTTCAATTTGCTGTTTTTCAATAGATTCTTTATTTCTATTGTTTCGTCGTGGATTTGATTTGACATTCCTAATATTTAAAGGAAATATCTCCATTATTCCAGTTAATTATTAATCAAATAAATTTATTTTATACATACACAGAAGAGTCATCCAATTTATTAAATTTAGTTGAATCACGTAGTACTAACTCATCATCATTTTGCTTTTCATGATCTTCACATTCTGAATTTCTTGCTTCGTCATCACTATTAAAATCTTCTTCAGACTGTTCAGACTGCTGATAGGTATCTTGTATTTTAGGCTCTTCAGTATTATTGCCAAGTGTTTTTGCGTATATAACATTATTTTTTGCACGTCTTTTATTAACTGGTTTATTTTTCACAGCTCGCCTTTTGTTCTTATTCTGACGGCTGATATTATCACCTATTAAAAAACAATTCATTATTTAGTAAATTATATTTATTACAAATGTAAAAATATTAATTATGTAATATAATACATACGATTAAAATTTATTTTACGACGCATAAGATATATTAAGGCCCAATCACCAATGCAATTTGGAAAATGAGGATTATCTTTCTTAAACTTGCGAATAATACCAGCTTTAGTTTTTTTATCAAGGTTTTTATATTGTACTTCAGCAGAAGTATGCCGATCAACAAGGTTATAGAAAGCAGTCTAAATTAGAAAAAAACACATTAAAAAACAATTAATTAATATTTGATAATTAATATTATACTTTATTAAATTCACCTTATAACTTTGATATACATTCTTTTTTAAGTTCAATTTTGAATGCAAATTTGTAAAGTTGACAGGTTTTGGAATTGGTAGATCATCTTTAATTTTACAACCTTCTTGTGAAGCATCTTTAGTCATACAATCTTCTTGTGAAACGTCTTCTTTAGTCTTACAATCTTTATGTAAAATATCTTTTTCATATACTTCTGCTTCTGTATCACTATCTGATTCTTGTTCAGAGCTTGATTGTTCTAAGCTGGATTCTGCATGCTTTTTGGACGTCAATTTAGGCACCACCCTATCCATTTTTTTAATAAATTTATTGGAACTGGACTTTATAATATTTGAAGTTTCTTTATTTCTTGAACTTGAAACTGATGATTTATTTTTTAATTCATCTTTCAATTTCTTATTTTCATTTTCTAAGGCAGTAATACGAGTTAAAATTTTTGATAACATATCTTCTTTTTGATTATCATTATTATTATCTGAACTTTCAAGGTTAGAATTGTAGTCACTTTTATTATCAAACTCTTTTGAACTCTCTTTAGTAAATTTTTTTTTTGGATATTTTTGAATGATATTTTTGGACATATTTATAATTAAGAAGATAATTAATTAGTAGTTTTTTAATTAGTTTGAAAATATTACTTAAACTTTACGTATTTATATCTTTAAAAAGTTAATGTAAAGTTAATCAGGTATATATATAGATAAGTGTATTACATCATAATATTGTAATATTTATCATTTAAGTCAATTATATACATTTAAGTATAAATATGTAAGACAATTAAGCTATTTAACAAATTGTTTGTTTTTTCTATTGGATTGAATTTATATTAAACATGTTAAATCAAACATCTAAAAAAGTTCTTTGTACATGTTTAAAATGTCGTCAAAATGACACTGAAGGAGTTGGATGTTTAATTTCAAAATCTACAAGAACTAGACATCGCAAACAAGAAAAAAAAACAGCAGAAATAAACTCAACTTTAAGTTCAACAACCTCAAGTTTAAGTATTTCAGATATACTTTCTAGTTCTGAAAGTGAATCTTCTATTCTTATGGATCAAGATGAAAATATTGATTTTTTGCATTCTAACGCTTCTGAAGCTAATATTATATCTACAAGTTTCGATAGGTATATTTTTTAATAAATTTTAGTACTTCAATTTTTAATTTTTATTAAAATACAATTTTAAAGGCCGGAAGAAAATGGATTAAATGAATCATCAAGTTTATTGGATAATATGGAAAATTTATCTTCTGGACGAGATGATTGTTTTTTTAATATTGATGAGTCTGATTTAGAGCAAGAATTATCTCCAAATGTAATCGATGAACTTTCTGAATTAAGTGAATCTTCTGCAGATAATTCAGGTACAAAAAATATATAAGGATTAAATAATTTGAAATATTTACTCAAATCTAATTCATTTATTTAATTTAGATTTTTAAGGAGAGATACAATTAACTGAAGAATTAATTTGTGCTTTAAGATTATTTCTAGTTAAATCTCAGTGTAACTTAACGGATAATGCATTTCATCAAACCATGGTAGCAGTTAATGGTAATGATATTAGTTTATTTCAAGTTTAAAAAACACTAGAATCAATTGTTCCAATAAAACCTACATGGGTAGATACTTGTATCAACTCTTGTTGCGCTTATACAGGAAAGTATAAAGACAATGATTTTTGTGAATATTGTCAAACATCAAGATTTCAGACTAGAAAACATGTTTCACGACAACAAATGGCCTTTTTTTCCATTAAAGACCTTCTTAGAATTCAATATCAAGATCCAAAACGTTCCAAAGAGTTGAGATATCGTGCAAATTATACAAGTCTTCAAGGATTTGGTTTAGATGGAATAATTGGAGATATATTTGATGGCGCTAGATACCAAAAACTTTTATCTAATGGATATTTTGAAGATGATAGAGATGTTGCATTAATGGGTTCTGTTGATGGCTACCAAATCTTTCAACAAAAAACAGATGATTGCTGGGTTGTCCTTATAATTAATGCCAATATATGTCCTGAAGAACGTGTTAAAAAAGAAAATCTCTTAATAGCAGCAATTATTCCAGGCCCAAAAGAACCCAAAGACTTTAATTCATTTATGTATCCTATAATTAAAGAATTAAAAGAACTGGAAGGTAATTTTTCTTTGATTTAAATTTTTTGATTTTATAATATTTAGTAATATTTTATATTTTATTACTTTTAGATGGGATAGATTGCTATGACAGATTAAAAAATGAAACATTTTTATTACATGCCCATATTTTATCATGGTCAGGTGATACTCCAGGATTGACCAAACTCATGCAATTAACTGGCCATAATTCATATAAGGGGTGCCTGTTTTGTGATATTCGTGGTATTTACTTAAATCATGTGTATTTTCCTACTAAACCACCTATGGAAAAAGAAAATGAATATGAAAGATATGATCCTGAAAATTTACCTTTGCGAACTCATAGGCAGTTTAAAGATCTAATTTTTCAATTAAACCAAGCAAATTCAAAAAGAGAAAGAAAAGAATTAGAAACTGAATTTGGTATATATAACTCTTAATTAAATTTTATTGTTTTAGTAATTTTAATAATTATTTATTTATAAGGAATAAAAGGGCGTAGTATACTCTTTAACCTTAAAGCAATTCATTTTCCAAATTCTTTTCCGATTTATCTAATGCATTTTATATATGAGAATATTGCCTATTACATGTTTAAATTATGGACTGGAACTTTTTTTAATGATAATAGTGATCAAAATATTGGTGATTATATTCTTAGCCAATCTGAATGGAAGATTATCGGTTAAGAAATGCATCAAGCACGTAAAGAGTTTCCAACTTGTTTTGGACGACCACCACGCAATATAGTATTATACCATAAAGGTTATAAAGCTAAAGAATGGGCTGCCTGGATTACCATGTATTCATTGCCTCTTTTGAAAGGTAGAATGCCACAGAAACATTACAAAGGATGGGCAAAATTTGTTAATGCTGTACGTTTATATCAAAAATTATCATTAACATCTCAAGATATAAATGATATTAGATTTTTATTTCAGTCTTTTTATGATTATTATGAAAAGTAAGTAGTTTATTATCAATTTAATTTCAAATTGTATAGTATAGTCTTGATATTTAATTTATTTTTTATTTTAGAGAATATTATCAAAGTTTGGAAGAGTGGCTAAGTACAATGAAATTATGCTTTCACAACCTTTTACATATTGCCGATAGTATAGAAAACACAGGTCCATGTTGGGCTACATGGCAATTTCTGATTGAAAGAGTCTGTGGAATGTTACTTCCTTTAGCTCGTTCACGGTTACACCCTTACAAGAATATAATTAACAATATACATGTATTGGAAATGTTCAATCATTTACAATTTTATCAAAATATGCATACAGCAATATTTCCTTTACAAGAAGTCAAGCACAATTCAAATAATCTTGCATATTCTCAACCTGATTCTGAAGAAGTATTGCGATCTCCATCAAAAAGGCATAATCTTAGGCAGTCAGAATTAAAAAAAATTAAAGAGCATTTTTCCACGACTCACAATGTTAGAGGCCGAAAGTTAATGGTAATTTCAAATTTTATATGTGAAAATTTGTTTAAAGGACTTTTTTTTAATCAAATAATTTATTTTTTTTTAATTCATAGTCCTTTTCTTCATTTGGCATGAAATATGGACGCCTATAGACGAAAAAGGGCCACCAGATTGGATCCAAATGGGCAAGACAAAATCAAGATTGGGCTCACAATAATTACTCAGTTTTGGTACATGTATTATTATATTAATTTATGTTATGAAATTGCTATCATTAATCTTATCTGCTATGATAAATTTATAGGTAATTATGGAAGTGGATAGATGGTCTTCATTTCCTCAGAAAACACCAGAATTTGTATTGAAAAAATTTTATGGACAGGTTGAATATTATCTTGCTTACGAATTTGACAAAGTAACTTATATGTTAGCATATATTCATTGGACTGCAGATGTTAGAGAAGATAGTGCAGGTCTTATTTCATTTCAAAAATTTGGAGCGCATGAATTCATTGATGCATTTGCTATAGACCATTATGTAGGGTTTTTTCAGATTAAAACTACTTATTATGTAATAGATAAGGATGTAGATTATACAGATGAATAACTGATTGAATGGGTTAGTGAGAATAGTACATTTAATAAACAAATAATTTACATTTAAATTTCAAACATAAAACGGATGGGCTCATTTTTCCGTATATTTAACGTTTAAAATACATATATAAAATAGTTAAATTACTAGACATCTATATGACCGTTATTTATCAATTATTTACTATTACATTTTACGGACAATTAATTTTTATAGGGCAATAAAATATGATTATTAATGAATTTAACTTACAATTATCAGGATTTTTGGGTTTTGTAACTTTTCTTTCAACATTTGATTTGATATGATAAGTATTTTCATAAATTGGATGATTCCCTTCAGGAACATTAAAAATAAATTTTTTATGGAACAGAGGTAATAACTAATACAAAAATAATTACAATTAATCACTAACCTATAAGTTTCTAGAAAGTGATTATTTGACAATGTGGCTTTACTGTATTTTCAGAAAACCCATTACAGTGGCAAACTGATTTGTCATTTTTTATCTTATTGTAAAAATAAATTTCAAAAAAAAAAAAAAATTTATTTGTACTACAGTGCGGTACCTCTATAATAGGTACCCCTTATATCTTGTGATCTAATGGTCAGAATTTTATAAAATTTTAAAATTAGATAGCTTTTAAAAAGATACATCATTAAGCAAATAAAAAAATTTTCTCAATTTTTTTTTTGCTGACATAATACAAAATCACATGACTTAAAATAAATTTGATTGGCTAATGTAATACTTAATGTTAATTAGAATAATTTTTTATATATAATTTATTATTCATTATAATTATTTAAAAGTAATTTGATTAAGTATATCATCAGGAACTTTTCTATGGGATTTATATTTTTTTAGCAAGTTTTCCTGTAATTCCTTTTTGAGAAATAGGCATAATATAATTTGTAATAAATAAAAACTATCAAAGTTTTTTTTAATTTTTTTTCAAAATTTTTTTAATAAAGTATGGGTAAGTTTATAAGCTAAAATGATTTGTTTGAATAAGCACTATCAAATAATTATTTTTTTTTTATGTTACACAAAAATCACTTATTCTCAAATTTTTCCTATCATAATAAATTACCCGAACTTCAAACTTATGTAACACTAGCAAAATTTATTATTTTTTAATCTAACCCGATAAGTTTAAAAGCTCTTGATATGCTTTATTAAAATTATCGGTTAGAATTTTAAAATATTATTTTTTGCTAATGTGACATCTTTTTGAAAATGTCACATTATGACTATAAAATTGGGTCGGTTATAGAGGTACCGCACTGTATAAATGTTAAATATTAAACACTAACAAATTTCAAACCCAATTATAGGAGTTACTACCTTATAATAAAATGTTAATTATATAATATTTTTTTTTGAAAAGCAAATATAAACTATGCATTATTTGGATTAATGATAATTAGTTTCCATCTATTCTATTAGAATTCATTTGAGAATAGTGGCACAACTCTTTTAAATGTGGTAATCTTCTTGGCGTAAAGGATGTCTTGCAAGAACTGCTCATATTTAATGTGTGTCTCTCCAACCAATTCCTAAGTGATAACTTTAATCTTAAAATTATCCATATGTTCAAACTGTGCTTATATCACATTTTTTCATTAATTTTATTTTATATTTGTTTAAATATTACGGCCCTACCACAAGGGACTTCCTAAGAAGTGTACTATACTCTTCCCATGAAAATTACGCATAGCACCATGCCGTACCACAACAAACCAGCCCTACTGTAAGACCGCAGAAAACCTGGTACTCACAGGCTTACAAAGTAAGCACACTATGCTCCCACCCAACGCATAGCATCATGCTGTTCCAACAAAAATACCCAAATAAAAAATTACTTAACATATTGTGCGTGTAAACAGTTAAACGTAAAGAGAAAAAAATTATAATAAAATATATGAGCCCTACGAAAAAAATGCGTCCGGAAAATATTCTGAAATTGTCTGGAATATAATTGTACAAATTCCGGACAAAATGAGTGTCCTGAAAACATACGAAAACGCGCAAGATTTGGAACATTTTCCGGACATTGATTTTTGTCCGAAATTTGTCCGGATTTGGAATTTGTCCGGAAAAAAAATTTTCTCTGAAATGATCGGCAAGTCATGATTTCAATGATATATTCCTTTATACAAATACCTAACTGATACTTGTTTATAGCAGTTTAAATTAACATCATAGATAGTATTTTTGCTTGCTCTTTAAGTTTACTTAGTATACACACAGAGGTTTTAAATACCAGTTTTTTGCTTTTTACATTTTTTGATTTTTTATTGTCCAGAATTTGCCTGGAATTTTTTCTCGTCTAACTACCAGAATTTGTCCAGTTTTTTTTGTCCAGAGATTGTCCAAAATGTGTCCAGGATTTTTTGTGTCCAGAATTTGTCCAGTTTTATCTATCCGAAATTTGTCCTGAATTTTTCATGTCTGGACAAATTCCGGACTTCAAAAAATTCCGGACACCATATTTTTTCATAATTTCGGACATTTTCCAGACATTTTATAGGAATACTGGACAATTTCCGAACAGTTTTGGTGACAAATTCCGGACATTTTTTTTTCGTAGGGGAGGAGAGAAGGGAAGAGGGGGAAAATAAACGAAAAAGGACTTTTATTGAATTTATCAGTATTATTTTGGGATGTTTTTACGATGACTCATACTATAACCATGAGTTTACGTATTACACAAAATTGACTTGTCAATCAGTATTCAGTATTCATATGTATTACGAGTGGAAACGATATCACGTGAAGATTCCACATATTTATAGTATTATGTAATCACAATTTTGCAACGTGATTACGCATTATACATAATTGCAATGACGTACTCATGTCTAATACTGTGCTAAAGATGATTAGATGATTTGGCGCAAAATAGAACATCCATGTCCTAATAATTAAAAAAAAAATCCAATTCGAGTACATAATAATTTGGTATAACTTAATATAACTGTTCCATTGTATATAGCGTTTTATTATATAAATTTGTTATATCCAGCATGATTAATTATAAGAAAATCGGTTACATTATTTCGGTATAAACAGTTTCGTTATATTTTTTTAGACTGAACTTTTCCGTTTTTTCAAAAGTAGGTCATAATTAAATTAAAAAAGTTAAACGCCATTTGCTTTAAATAATTTGCGTTACCAGAATTCATATATAAGCTCCATAATATATATTTTCAACTGGGCGTAAATGCAAATTTTCCCATTTTGATATACTAATAATTTCATAGCAATAAATTATGACACAAAGTTCATAGAGTTTAGACCAAATGTAGAGCTGATCAGTTTCTGATCTTGCAGCTGATGATATTTCTTTAAAAAAGGAATTTCTAAAGAACATAATTTTTAAAATGACCTTAAGAATAAATTAAAAGTGACTAGATCCAATTAAGTGCTTGTAGATTTGAGCCCAAAAAAACGCCCAAAAAAAAACATTTAAAGTATTTAATTTAAAGTTTGTTTATTTGGATTATTATTATAATATACACAAATATAATATAATAAGGATTATTCTTTACGGCGTTCTTAATTCCTATTAAAAATTCAAACAATCTTTCTTTTTTGTAACAAGTTCGGCTTTCGGCTTTTATTAAATTACGTCTCGTATCACATGAGGTACTGTAACTGTAACATTATTGGCTGAATAATTACAAATTAATTAAGGCGCATATTTTATTATTTAGAAACCGTATCTCTGAATAAGTTATATATATATACAACTGTTTTAAAAAATGTTGTGAAAGTTAATTTTCTAAATTAGTCATATTAAGAGCAACGAGTTAATTTTAATTACGGATAAATTTTTGGCTAATCGGCGAAAAATATAGTATGTTTGTATATGTAACCGAATCAAAATTGCGGAAAAATAAATAACAGATAAGGAAAAATCCATTGAAAATCTATGTATCACAAAAATCACAAAATTTATTAAATCCTTTTTTTAAAAAAAATTTCCTTTTTGTTTACTATTTATTTATTTATTTATTAATATTTTTTCATATTTTACAAATATTTACTCTTCCTTATTTCACTCCTTTGTAATTTCATCATCTTATATATAAGTTATCGACAAAAAACCTCTAAATTACCTTAACCCCAGTCCTTTCTCCTTGATAACTCATACCCCTTTGTATCGACAATTTCCTTTATTATTCGTTATATTGCCACCTCAGGCGCAGAGTTTACAGTAACTTTACAGAAACTTCAAGATCGTAGCGATGGCTTAATGCGCAGTAACTGCGTCATAAATACATAGTGACCACATTATGTAATCGTAAAGAAATTACATATATGCAGTTACTGCGCATTAAGCCATCGCTACGATCTTGAAGTTTCTGTAAAGAAGTTTAAATTCCAAATTCTTTTAAGCATAACATATCGCAATTTCATCGGAGAAATTTTAATATGATTTTTTTTGTAGATTATTGATTTAATAATAATAAAAATATGGGAAATAATAATTCGTCTTCAAAACATAAAAGTAAAAAAATAGAATTTTATAAAGAAATTGATAATAAACCGATGGATTTAGAAGTAGAAAAGGAATTAAAATACTATATACCGAATAATTATGAAGATATTGATAGATTACATATGTTTCATTTTTTTCAAAGGTATTTATTTCAAGGTAATTATTCTTCTCCAATTGAAGAAGGATTAATGCGAGGAAAATATAAAGTATTAGATATTGGGTAAGTTAAAATATATATATATGTATATATTTTAATGCAATTGTTGACAATTTTTTTTTTTTTAAAGATGCGGACCTGGAACGTGGTTGTTGGATCTTGCAAATAAATATGAAAAATCAGTATTTTACGGACTTGATAATAATTCAGTACATCCAAATGAGGCAAGTACGCGCGCGTAACGTGACAATTAAAAAATTTAACTAACTAGGTATAAAAATATATACTTAATTAGATAAAACCGTCAAACTTAAATTTCGTAAAAGCGGATATGTTTGATGGATTACCGTTCCCTGATGACAACTTTGATTTTGTACATCAGGATCCAATGTCATTCATTATTAAAGCAGATCAATGGAACTTTATCATTTCTGAAATGATTAGGTATAAGTTAGTTATATGTATTTTGTTATACAGTATATGTAAATAATTTAAAAAATGAATATTTATTTATTTATTATATATAGAGTAACAAAACCTGGTGGGTATGTTGAAATTCTTGATATATATTTTACACTTAGGGGAGCTGGACCAATTTTAAGTAAAATATATGAAGCACGTAAGTAAATTAATTATTCCCATATTTGCTTACCAACAATTTTATCAAAGTATGACTAAGATTTATTTTTAAAATTTATAGATAATACATCTTGTTTACAAAGAGGAGTAGATATGAAAATAATACCAAATCTTGATAAAATAATTCAATCAAATCAAAATACGCAAATAGTTTATAGAGATGAGAAATCATATATTTTAGGACCTAACGGTGGTAAAGTTGGTATGATTAAACAAGATATTTTTATAGGATACCATGATAATGAAGTAGCGACAGAAAATTTAAGTCCATTTTTAGGGATCTCTAAAGAAGAATATAAAATTATGATAACAAAAGATCTTATAGAAGAACTTAAATATACTAGTCCAGAATTTTTGTTAATTAGATTTTGGGCTAAAAAAAATTAAATATTAACTGATAATGATAGTATTTTTTAACGACTATACTAAATCACACCACTGGTGCTCAACACCACAATCACGTGATTATAAAATTTTTTATTGGCTAGTTTTTCGATTTTATTTGATCAATAAAAAATGTTACACCACAATGCATTACATGATTTATAAAAAAAATTTTATGATATAACCGATAGCTGATTAAGTCGTAATTGCATAACTTTAACTTTAATGCCGTAATGCTGTATGTAAATGCTCTGCAATATATGAAGAAAGGACAAAAAATATAGTAAAAAAGGACAATGAAAAAAACCAAGGGAAATAAAGGAAAGGAAAGATAAATGAAAAGGGTTGAGTAAACGAAAAGTGATGTAGGGAAATGAAAGATGAACAAAAATGATGAAAGATAAACAAAATATGATGAAGATACATGAAAGATGAACAAAAGAGACGTGAAAGATGAATGAAAAAAATGAATAAGTGGGAAACGAAAGATGAATGAAAGAGGATGAAGGAAAACGAAGATAACCGTAAAGGAAATGAAAAAAAAAGTGAAGAATAGTAAAAAGGAACAAAAGAATCGAAGGGGAAATAAAATTTAACAAGAGAAACAAAGGGGGAATAAAGGGAAGCAAAGAGAGAATAAAAAAAACAATGAAAAAAATGAAGGGGGAATAAAAACAATGAAAGAAAAGGGAATAAAATGCCATGAGAGAAATGAAAGGGAAATGAAAGGGAACAAAAGGGAATAAAAATCAATAAGAGAAACAAAAGAAAAATGAGAAGGAACAAAAGAGATGAAAAAAAAATGAAAAGGAACAATAGGAGAATAAAAAACAACAAAGAAATGTAAGGGAACAAAAGGGAATAAAAAGCAATGTGAAAGCAACGAAGGGGAATGAAAGTAACAAAAGAAATGAAGCGAGAATAGAAAACAATGAAAGAAATAAAGGGAATAAGAACAACAAAGGAATGAAGGAAACGAAACATAAATAGAAAGAGATAAAAGGAAACAAAATGAACAGAAATGGATGGATAAAAACAAAAAATAATGAAGAAACAAATAAAACGAAAGTAAGAGAAATAAAGGAAAATAAAAGTAAAGCCAGAACACCACCCATAGAAAAAGAAAAAAATATTTAATATCGTTTTAACAGCGATAAAACAATAAGAGAAAAAGACGAAAGAGACTTACTCAGATTTCACTGAAATGGTACACGTCTAAAAAAGAAACAAAGGTTAATAAAAGAACAGGGAAAAGAACGAAAAGAAAAACAAAAAAAAAAAGAGAAAGAAAAGAAAGTAAGATTCACCTTAAATATTTGCCGAAATGGAAACTAAAAACAGCCGCGCCTAAAAAAAAGAACAAGCAAGTTTAATGAACGAAAGAAAGGAAAATAGAAGCAAAAAAAAACTTACCTGTAACCTAATCCCAAAGCTAAAGATGGTCGTGTCTAAAGAAACCTAAAAAAAAGAAACAGAAAAAATAATAAATCGCGTCAAAAAAAATAAACTGATCAGTAACACATGATCACGTGATGTGGTGTTTACAACACCACTGGTGCGTTTTATAATTTTCGTTTTTTAAATACTAATATTAATTTATAATTTTTATTTATGAAGAATTTATTTAATTTGATGGCTTAATTTATTTGGTAATATATATAAAATTTTATGGACGCTAATTAACAAACAAAACGTATTGAAGCTTAAAACCAGACCGATGGTTACTAATTTTTACGTTATTTTGACTCGGATATTTTTCGTACCTTATTTTTTTCATATTAACTATAAAGTATTGAATGTAACCCCATGCCACAAAGTGATTGTCTAAACTAGGTTAGGATTAGGGTAAATCCTGCTGTAAAGAACATTGTATATTTTATATATTTTATTACATGATATGAAACGAGCTAAATCATTTTCAGAAACACATTGACCATCTTATTCGGGCAATCAGACTTTTCTATAATTCGTTAAATTTTCGGAATTTTTATTTTTTTCGGTCACAATTGCGTGAAGGAAACTATATTATTATTCTATCAGAAAAGATGCCAAAAACTCTAAAGTGCTTTTCACTTTATCATTAATACCGTTCACTTATTCTTCGCTCGTAACTATAATAAAGGAAATCCGTAGTAATATTTACTTGTTTACTTATTATCCCAATTCATTTCGGATTCTTTAAAAAGTACGTTATTAACAATCGTTAGCGATAAGTATATTCATATGATAGAATGTATGATACTAGCTTAAAATTATTTTCAAATTGCGGGAAACTAAATAAGTATATTGATATCGTAAATCCTTTTTAAAAGTTTTTCCTTCATTAAATAAATTATTTACTAATTTAAATTTCTTCTCTATATTCCACGGTTTCACTTGTAATTTTCGTCACCTTATATGTACGTTCAACCGACAAAATCTCCTTTTTATACGTCATTTATCCTTAAATTATCTTTATATTTCTCGCTCAAAAATTCTTTTTTCTCTTATAACTCGTACCCCTTGTATCGCAAATTTTCTTTATTATAAGTTTAAATTCCAAATTCTTTTAAAACACAACACATCGCAATTCTATTTGAGAAATCTTCATTTGATATATAATATTTTTTTTTTTGGTAGGTTATTGATTTAATAATAATAATATTTCATCTTCAGGACGTAAAAGTAAGGATATAGTAGTAGAAAAGGAATCAAAATACTATATACCGAATAATTCTGAGGATATTGATAGAGAACATACGTTTCATTTTTTTCAAAAATATGTATTTGAGGATATAAAGTATCAAAATTACTAGATATTGAATAAGATATAAATATATACATTCTTTTTTAACGCATTTTTAAGAGTAATTTCTTTTTATTTTTTTTAATAAAAAGATGCGATCCCGGAACTCGATTGTTGGATCTTACAAATAAATATGAAAAATCCTATTTTATGGACTTAATAATAATTCAATATATCCAAATGAGGTAAGTACGCAGCATAACGTGGCAATTAAAAATAAGTGTAATGATTAATAAATATACTAGTGTTCTAACAAAAACATCCGAACCCTGGCGAAACTGCCGAAACATGGCGAAATTGGTGAAACTAAATGAGTTCCATGTTAAATTTTTAATTGGCTATAAAGTATAATCATACGATTTCAGGATCTCCGGCGATTATCCCGTATATTATAAAATCAGCTGTAATTGGTTGTTAAATATGTTTCATAAGTTGTAAATTACACGCCATTCGTCTTAAATTTTTCAATCATAGATAATCTATACGCCAATATACTATTCAATATGTCAAAATCGCAAATGTACCTATTTCTATTCTCTTTATTATCACTCCTAAATTCTTTTCATCATTCGTGTTTTTCATATTTATTTATTTCATTCACTTTAATTAGAGTGTTAAATATATATATATGTGTGTGTATTTTCTTTACCATATTTTACAATATCTTGCGAATAGTATTTTCAAAGTTTATGGTTTTTAATATCATGTTTTTTCAATATGTTCAATATGTTCCAATTTGCAAATATAAATTTTTCATGTATTATTCCCGTAGTTGTTTCTATCGGTTTTTTGATACGTTCGTTATTCTATGAACATTTATTATTACTATTTCTTTTTTCTTTTATCTTCAACACAACTCAACTGGTTATGATGCTTTTACTAAGAAATTCGTAAAATTCTTTAAATTTAGTGCACAATTAATTATATTTTATAAAAATCAAGCTTCTACTTACAAGAATTATTTACAACCAAATTTCAACTAATTGAATTATGATAAATGTGACAGCGAGTGTCAAATGGGGACTCGTACATCATGTCTATACTAATTTTCCCCATTGGATCCGACGCGGAATTAGCTCGGATTCCATGTAATTACGGCAGAAGTCATGGGTCCGGATGATTACAAATCAAAAAATTCCGGATGTTGATCAATCGGACCCGGTTCACCAGCCGGATTCAATGGAACTAAGGGGCGAAAATTAGTATAACCACAAACTCCTATCTTACTTCTAAATACGGATGCTACACCTAGTCACATACCGAGAGACAACTCGGTGGGTTTCGGACATTTCACCAGGTTTCGGCAGTTTCGGAACAGCCGAAACCGAAACTCAAGATGGGCGAAACGTTTCACCAATTGTTTTCGCCCGAAACATTTTAAACTTTAATTGATGAATAAAATTATTATCGTCTTATCATGTTTCCGACTTTCCGTAGATTGAATGTTTCTTGTTTCGATGAAAGTAAATGTTTCCTAGAAAACTCTTTCACTTCTAATGTTTCAACTCTCAGAACCTTGATATCATTTTTTTAGTCCGACAGTCCATAAATTACGTGATCGATATAATCAATTAAATTGGAGCCAAAAAATTTTAGGAGACGAAATTCTTAAATTCTTAACTGGACTGATTTAATTTTGGTCAGTTTATTATTTTGTTTATGAACATATATTCTATTAAACCTATTTATTTTTAAGAAATTTAAAAAAAAGGTATTATAAAATAATAGATGAGCTAATATTTTCCGGGGTTACTACAGATATAATTGCAGTTGCTGTTTCACGAAAGAAAATATACAAATTTTTTATTAATCTCATCTCCGAAATAATTTTAGACAGATCAATTAAATAAGTATTAGATATCTTAAATAGAAAAAGAAAAAAAAATTATTTTAAGAATTTATTCAGATAAAAAACTAATAGTAGTATAAAAATATATCGCTTTTAAATATAGAGATAATAAATAACCAATGCTAATTTTTCTTAGTGTTCACTAACCTAAGATTTTTATCGTAATTATTTTTATAATGCTATTTGCTAAGCAATAACATTTGTAATCAAAGTTTGAACGTCAGCTACAGTAAATGTTATTATCTATTTATAAAACTCTAAAATAATATATTTCCTAATTTCTTTTGCTCATTTGATCCTTTCATAAAAATTTCATTAAAATATAATTCTAAAAATAAAAATATAAACCAAGTTAATAAAATTTTTAAATACTAACTTTAAATTTATTAAATAATATCCTGATTATTCCCGTAGAAATCTACAACTATCTAAGACTCATCATTCAAATTATCTTTGTCTTGAATCTTTGATTAATTTCATTGAAAATAAAATTAGATGAGAAAATTATTAATAAAATAATAAATTATTTTAAATAAATTTTTTTTACTTGATTCACTAAATTTTACAATCAAAGCATTCTGAAACTATAAATTAAACAATAACATAATGTTAAAACAAAATATAAATTTATAACTACAATATTGGTTATACTTACTTGGATTTGCTGATACTGATGGGACATCATCTATCTATTATTAAGATATTGTTAATAATGATTATTATTTTCCATAACTAATAGAATCAAATATTTACCTGAATTAAGTTGAAACAATGATAAATCTGAAGAATTTAATGGTTCCGGAAGATTTTTGAAATTTAAAAGTCTACTTGTATAGATTGCTTGAGGATGAGATTTTTTACTTTCAGACATATTTTCACTTGATTTGCTTTCCAATTTGTGTTTTCTAATTTTTTCATATTCATTCATCTGAAAATAAATTTCACTATTAATACCACCTTCTTTATCCCATTTTTTTAATACTTGATATAATTCTTTAGCAGTTGGTCTATTTTCTGCTTTAGCATCCCAACATTTCATAATTAAATCAACAAATAGTTTAGGAATGCCTTCAGAAATTTTTGGTCTAAGACCTTTACATATTTTGACAGCTAAAATATGATCATGAGGTATATCATTAAAAGGAATTACTTCAGAAAGGTACTAATTCATAATTATTCCAAATGAATAAATATCAGCCGCTTTTGTATATTGATATCCACGTAAAACTTCTGGTGCCATATAAGGTAATACTCCATAAACTCCTTCCTTTTTATCAGGTTTCTCTTTATTATTTGCTGGTTGACACATTCCTAAATCACTTATAAACATAGACCCACTAAACAATATATTACCTGAATGAAAGTCTTTGTGAACTTTTTCAGCATTATGGATACTTAACAGTCCATTTGCAATTCTTGATAAATGACAAGGTTTCATACAATCATTAGAATTATTTAAATAGTAATTTCTTAAATTTCCATATTTACAATAATTTAGAACCATCATATAATCTTTGGTATTTGGATCTTGAGTTATACCATAGCAGAAAACAATATCCTAAATATAAATCTGAAGATGAGATTTGATCTAATAATTGAATAATTGAAATTTAAAAAAATACAATTTAATAAAATTACAATGTTAATTTAAATATAAAATTGGTTACCTCATTTAAAAAATCAGTACTAATTTCAGAAGAATTATCCAAGCTTTTTAATGCGACTTCATAATTTGTAGCTCTAATCCATTTTCGATGTTCAATATCCCAATAACCAATACGTCCTTCAGGCCATTTAGCTGAATAAATTTTACCAAAGCCTCCTCTGGTAATATAAGTAATACTTTGAAATTTTTCAAAAGGTATCCATTCAAGACATGTTTTATGATGTATAGCATTAAGTTGTGAATGTTGTATTAGTTCATCAACATCTTCATTTCCGCTAGTCCAATTTTTAAAATTTTCCTTAAATCTTTTGGCATTACAAGGTTGACACCAATAACCTCCTGTGCCAGGTTCATTGCATTCCCCACATATACCAAAAATTTCTTTTCTTTTCTCTATTTCATCCATATAGATTATTCTATCATCAATATCATCTGATTTGGTAGTTGAATCAATAGAAGAAACTGTAGCATGAGTCTAAATAAATGATTAAAAAATATATTGGTTATTTATTTAAATTACATTATTTATAATGAATTATAAAGTGAAATTGCATTTACATGATATTTATCCCAATCAACATATTTCCATAAATTTCTAGGCTTTTCTTTGAATGATTTATTCAAAATTTCCATACTAGTATTTCTTGGCTTTTTTTTGAATATCTTTTTTAACAATTCCATACTTAACAATAAATGTGTTAACTACAGTATATGTATATTACTGTTGTTTACTTAATAATAAATGAAACAAATTTAGTGAACGTAAAGTTATTTTATTTACAGCTTAATACAGCTTAACGTATACAAAAAATATGCACCATATCATTATCTAACTGAATTATTGTTAAGCCATTTGGTAACATGAATGGAGAATTATATAACATTCTATGCGAAAAATAAATAATAATACCGAGCAATACATGAAAGGTAACAGTAGTAAATACTATGTAGATCATTCCATTTTTGGATAATGCCAGGCGACATTACGTAATTCTGGCCCTGAAGAGCTAATTGTAAATGAGTGCCGATCTCGGGTCTTAGTTTATACTTATGGAAAAAAAAAAAATTTTTTATCAAAATTTTTCAGAAGTTGTTTTTATGAACTTTTTTTTTATGAATGACAGTAGTTAATCCGCTATAATCTGGAGATTTTATTATATTATTTAATTAGCTATTTATTTCATCTAATTTTAAAGTTTACAGAACAATTTATTTGTAAGTTGGTAATGACAACGTTTATTTTTCTACAGAGTGATGCAGTGATGCAGATGATCGTATTTATACAGTTTTACGCCATTTTACGATAATAAATATCTTTATGTTTTTGATTAAATATCAGAAATAATGATTTTTCATTGATCTATTAAATATAAGTTGTCTCATATATTTATTAAATGATTTAAAAATATTAAAATTTAAAAGGATATTAATGAAAAAAAGGGTTCCTTCAGAAATCATGTGAGAAATGTAAAAACTCTGTACAGAAATAAATAATATAATTAAATAAAATTTGCATGATGAATGAGATAAAAAAAGTTTTCTTTATTAATCTTAATATACCGTTAATTTTTTTAGGATTTTTAAATTTTTAAGAAACTTGGATGATGATTTTCATGAAAAAAACTTTTTTCAACAAATAAAAGTATTAGTAGTCTTTAATTACTAATTTATTTTATGTATTGACATTGAAATGACATTAACAATAAATATTCAATTACCTTTTTATAGTAAATTTAAAATAGCTACTATTTGAATTATCAACAGGTGACATATGCAGAAAAATAAATATAAATATATTGTAAGTCAAACTCTGGATATAACGAACCGACCGTATAACAGTGAGTTCGCTATGATTTATATAACTGTTCGTTTATAAAACTGACCAATAAAAATATAGACACGTGATCATTTGCACCAAGCAAAATTGTCCATAATTACTTGTGCTAAAGAAAGATTAATTGTGTTTTGGCAAAAATGTCCTAATAATTAAAAAAAAAATCCGATTCGAATACACAATTTATAATGCTAAATTTTAAGTTATGTGATAATTCGGTATATGAAGTATGCAGTTTAGTATAACTGTCATGATTGGATGCGGTATATAACGTTTCATTATATAAATCGTCATATCAAGCAAAGAAAATTGGTTCTGTAATACACGGTTCTGTACAACACACTATGTCTAAAGTTGACTGTATTTTTTTTAGACTGAACTTTTCCGTTTTTCAAAAAGTAGGCAAACGAAATTTTCATAATTTAAAAAAAGTTTAAACACTATTTTTTTAAAATAATTTATGATATAAAAATCCGCATATCAAATTCCATAATATATATTTTCAACGGGGAGTAGATGCGACCAATTTCAATATAATAATTGTATAGCAATAAATTATCACAAAATTCATAGAGATGAAGAGCGTCTAGACCAAATAAAGGTAGAGAGCTGTCAAATGATGCTTCTGAGTTCTGATCTTGCAACTGACGATATTTCTTCTAAAAAAGGAATTTCTAAAAAAAGAACATGTTTTAAATGATCTTAAGAACTAAACCCAATTAGGTGTTTATAGATTTGAGCTCAAAAAAAAAAATTTTAAATATAATTTATTTTATTTAGACTATTATTACAAATATACATAAATATAAATATAATGATAAGGATTATTTCTTACAACGTTCTTAATTCCTATTAAAAATTCGATCCATCTTTTTTCTTTGTAACAAGTTCGGCTTTCGGCTTTTTTCTCGTATCAACATGAGGTATCTGTAACTGTAACACATTATTGACCGAACAAATTACTTCGTAATTACAAAATTTATTAAGGCGCATAATTAGAAACCGTAGTTTAACATATCTGGTGAAAGTTAACTTCCAAAATTAGTCATATTTGAAGCAACGTAGTTAATTTTAATTACGGATAAATATAAATTGTTCTCACATTTGGATTAAATCGGCGAAATATATAGTATTTTTGTAATATGTAACCGAATTAAATTACGGAAATAAATAAACAAAATAAAATAAGGAAAAATACATTGAAAATCTATGGTATCACAAAATTTATTAAACCCTTTTTTTAAAAAAAATTTTTCCTTTTTATTTACTTAATTTATTTATTTATTTGTTTTTTAATATTTTTTTTTTTCATAGTTTACAAATATTTACTTCTTCTCTCATACTTCACTGTTTCACTTCTTTGTAACTTATATATAAATTCAATAATCGACAAAAAAAAACCTTCAAATTATCTTGTCGTTCTCCTTTATAATTCATACCCCCTTGTATCACCAATTTCCTTTATCTTTCTTTCGCAGAGTTTATAGTAAGTTTAAATTTCCAATTCTTTTTAAGTATAATTTCATTGGAGAAAATATTTTAATTCATATTTTTTTTGGTAGATTATTTAATAATAATAATAAAAATATGGGAAATAGTCATTCGTCTTCAAAGCGTAAAAGTAAAAAAATGGCACTTTATAAAGAAATTGATAATAAACCGACGAATTTAGAACCGAATAAGGAATTAAAATACTATATACCGAACAATTATGAAGATATTGATAGATTACATATGTTTCATTTTTTTCAAAGATATTTATTTCAAAGTAATTATTCTTCTCCAATTGAAGAAAAATTAACGCAAGGAAAATGTAAAGTATTAAATATTGGGTGAGTTAAAAATTTATATATATATGTATATTTTAATGCAAATGTTGACAATTTTTTTTTTTTAAGATGCGGACCTGGAACGTGGTTGTTGGATCTTGCGAATCAATATGAAAAATCGATATTTTATGGACTTGATAGTAATTCAGTATATCCAAATGAGGTAAGTACATGCGCGAAACGTGACAATTTAAAATATTGAACTAACTAAGGTATAATAATATATAGATTAAACCGTCAAACTTAAATTTCATAAATGCAAATATGTTTGATGGATTACCGTTCCCTGAAAATGAATTTGATTTTATACGTCAGGATCCAATGTCATTCATGATTAAAGCAGATCAATGGGACTTTATCATTTCTGAAATGATTAGGTATAAAGATATATGTACTTTATTATATATATGTAAATAATTTATATAAAATGTTATTTATTATAGAGTAACAAAACCTGGTGGGTATATTGAAATTCTTGATATATATTTTACACATAAAGGAGCTGGACCAATTTTAAGTAAAATATATGAAGCACGTAAGTAAATTAATTATTTTCTATACTTTATAAAGAATTTATTAAGGAATGACTAAGTTTTATTTTTTTTTTTCAAAAAAAAAAAAAAATTTATAGATAATACATCTTGTTTACAAAGAGGAGTAGATTTGAGAATAATACCAAATATTGATAAAATAATTCAATCAAATCAAAATACGCCAATAGTTTATAGAGATGAGAAATCATATATTTTAGGACCTAATGGTGGTAAGGTTGGTATGATTAAACAAGATATTTATATAGGATATCATGATAATGAAGTAGCGACGGAAAATTTAAGTCCCTTATTAGGCGTTACTAAAGAAGAATATAATGTTATGATAACAAAACATCTTATAGAAGAACTTAAAAATACTAATCCTGAATTTTCGTTGGTTAGATATTGGGCTAAAAAAGATTAATAATACTCTCTTTTAAGGATTGATCACAATTATTTTATGATATAGTACAAAAAAAGAGTATGTTAATAAAATATATATATATATGTATTCATATTTTTTTTTTATTCATTACAACTTTTTATATACGAAAAATTTATTCGTTAATTTGATAGTTAAAAATATATAATTTTAATAAATAAACGCTAATTATTAAATAGTTATTGGTCGGAGACCGATATTTCTTTTCCCCCATCCAATAACTATTTATTATTAAATGAAACGCGTTAAAGCATACTGTTAATAATGTTAGAATGGCTGTGTAAAAACAGAACGGTAATGAACTGAAAAGATGCGACGTTAAAGTTATCATTAGGTAAACGATTTAATAGAATCTGATCTACGTCTTCATGCGGCGGGCTTGTTATATTTATATAAATTATGTGTTTACAATTTATCCGAAATAAATAAGTATTACAAAAAAAGGTGAAAGTTCGTCTTCTTCGTTATCATCCAAGTAATTCTGCTCTTTGATCAAACGCTTCATTTATCAAATTATCATTATTATCTTCTTCGTCGATTTGCATTTCATGGAATAACCCAGTTTTATATGAATATATCTATTTCTGTATTCCGTACATTAAATAGTCTTTCAGCTACACTACTGACGACAAATATTTAGAACAATGTGATGGAATTGATTCACCAATCTAGGATTAGGGAAAATGCTGCTGTAAATAATATTTTAGTCAAAGTCAGAATGTTTCGAAAATCAGTTTCTCTATAATTCGTTTAATTTTCAACGATATTCGAGAAGAAAAGTGCATTATTATTTTATCAGAAAGAACTCAAATTCTTTATCATTTGATGCAATATTATAAATTACTACTAATTTGCTTGGAAAGTGGATTTAATGAGAATATCTTGAATAGATATTATGTAGTTCAATATAAGAACGGGCGTAATCTAGTGCTTCGATCCGGATGAAAACCGTCATCCGGGTTACACAACACATAGATCCGGATTGGATTTACAACAGATCGGTAATAATTCTGGCCAGAATTCATAACGCCGGCTAGAATTACAAATTTGTGTAACATTAAAAATTTTAGTGCCCGCCAATAAAAGAATTTAGGTATCACGTGATATTAATTTCGGCCAGAATTACGAATTTGGCCAAAATTATCTAAGACCGCGAAATTTTCATAATTCCAATTTTATTCAATACTTTGTTTTTAAAAACAATTTCATATTATTTCAGCATTGTTTCAGACTATTGTTTAATATTTCTTTGTAAATTAACTAATTATAAAATTTTGGATAAACAAGTTATTTTTATATACAGCTAAAGATTACTATAGATAGATGTGTTGAGTTAGTAAGGCAATTTTTAAAATGTTAAATTGAGATTTGTTTCTTTTTTTCAAAAATTCAGTTGACCAACATGTGATGCAAGTGTTTTCGGTGTTTTCGCTTTTCAGTATTTAAAATTTTGTCTATGGTCGCACTTTAATTAAAAAAAATTTACTTATTTCTATAAATAATTTGTAAATCTTAATTATATAAAGTTACGGTGCTATGCGACAAAAAACAAATAAAGATTCATCTGGATTTTGGTTTAAACCGAATATTTTTCATCTGGATTATAATCCGGATGAAAACTGCAAAAATCTGGATATCCAAAAAAAAAAAATTATTCAGATCGATCCGGATCGATCCGGATACAGATCGAAGCACTAGCGTAATCCCAATTTCATTTCAGATTTCGTTATTGTTAACGTTAAGTATATTCTTACGATAGAATGGTATATTTGGTTGACTTATTCCTTTCAATATGTATTAAAAACTATTTCAATACTTTAAATAATAAATAATATTATAATGTTTTCTAGAAAACCATTCAACGTTTCGATATTAAATTTATTATATAAACTTTTTTTTAAAAAAAAAATACTGTACATCCCGTGCTTTATTTCAAATTGGAAGATTGAAAAGTAACGCCTCAGTTTATATGTATACCCAAACAACGAAATTCAATGATGAAATTTATTCTCAACTGGATGAATCTTATAAAAAAATTAGAGAAAAAAAAAATTGAAAATCAGATCAAATGAAAAAAAATCTTAAATTTTAAATTAATAAGATTTGTAATTATAAATTTATGTTAAATTAAAGTAGGTTTTTTTTGAGAATATTATTTAAATATAGTATTTAAAAATTTTTATTAACTTGGTTTGTATTTTTACTTACTTTAGTATTATATCTTAGTGTAGCAGGATTTATTGGTTTTGCGTTAACACTCAAGTTAGTTCGTTGATAAGTTGGGTTAGCTGATCTATTAAGCGTTAGGGAAACTTTGAAATTAGTCACAATTATTTTTTTTTATCCGAATAAATTTTAAATAAAATAATTTTTAAGTTATCTAAGAGACTAAGACTTTAATTGATCCATCTAAAATTATTTTTTGTTGTGAGTTAAAAAAATCATATACTTTTCTTCATTGAAACCAATTCTTTATACGAAAATATCTGAGTCAAATAACGTAATGTACATAATAACATTATATCTTTCCAGTTCATCCCCGTACATCGCTTTACAAAACATTATTAAATATATATTGCCGAATAAAATATTTAATTAAGCTACCAAATTAATGATTAAATTTTTTTGCATAATTATTGAAAACAGTAACCATTAAAGTCTGGTCGCGTTTATTTACTCAGGGTCTTTTTTATTACAAACATTAAACAAAAAAATTTTATTACGAAAAATAGCAAATTTAATATCAGTTTTACAAAAAAAAGAGGAATATGGTTGAAAGGATTTTTAAAACATTGAAAAATCATTGTTTAAATTTGAATGTTAAAAATTTCTTCAATGTGTTAGTCTTAAGAATGTTATATCAAATTGTTTATTTAGTTACGTTTATATGAAATCAATTTAATAAATTAATAAAGTGAATAAATCGATTTATGACTTATGTAGTATGTAATTACTATTTGTTGCTGACTTAGCCAAGTCTTTTAAAAGACTTGTTGTCACCTGATCATCACGTTGAGGTGCAGCACATTGATCGGGGGAAGGGAAAACGAGAGGGAAAGGGAGCGAAAGGGAAAGGGAAAACGAAGAGGAAAGGGAAAACGAAAGGAAAGGGAAAACGAGAAGGAAAGGGAGAGGGAAAGAGAAAAACGGAAAACGAAATAAAGGGAAGGGGAAAAACGAAGGGAAAGGGAAAGGGAAAGGGGAAAACGAAGGGGAAGGGAGGGAAGGGGAAAACGAGAGGGAAAGTGGGAAAGGAGAAAATGAGAGGGAAAGAAAAAAGCGAGAAAGAGGGAAGGGGAAAGAACAAGGAAATACACAAACATACACAATACTCACAACAAACCCAAACACAAACCTAACCTACACACAACAACCTACATACCTAAAGGAAGACGTAAAGTAAGAATAAAGAGAAGACCTGGACAGAGAGAAAACAGACCAAAAAAAGGAAGATAAAGAAGACCTAAAAACCTAAAAAAAAGAAGACAGAAAAAAAATAGATAAAGCTAATTTAAATTATACACTCATGACAAAACCCACATCAAGATGAGTAATTTTTTTCGCGTTATATATTACACTTAAGTACATCATCACGTGCTGAACGGACAGACGGACATTTTAGTATAGAAGTCGCTGTTTATAAAAATTCTCATCGTTAGACAAATAGCAAATTATCAGTGTTACAAATTATAGTCACTCTAATGTATACTTCGCTACGCTCCGGACAATAAGTTAATAACGTGTAAAACTAATAATATTTGTTTGAAAAAAAAAAATACTATTATTAAAATATTCTATAACATCTACTTGACCGGGTCCCGATACGAAATCTCGAAAATCATTTGAACGACTGACACAAGACCGACAACAAAATCTTGACAATCCAAAATCCTGACAAGTCAAAATCCCGACAAATCATTATTACCGACAAGTTGATTATCCTGACAATTTTAGAACAAAATTATAAAATTTACTAGTCGTGCAAGTGACTGTCGGAATTATATAGTTTATTTACGTACATATAAATTGCTAATATATATAATAATTATAAGGTAATATTACATTTCTAGTAATAATATAATATAAATATTATACGGTTGAATTACATTGGTTAACTTCATGATTCACGAAAATTACAATATCCAAAAAGTAATATTACTTAATTCTTTTTAGCCCAAAATCTAATTAATTTATATTCTGGACTAGTATTTTTAAATTCTTCTATAAGATCTTTCATCATAATTTTATATTCTTCTTTAGAAATACCTAGTACGGGACTTAAATTTTCCATCGCCACTTCATTATCATGAAATCCCATAAAAAGATCTTGAATAACTATACCAATTTTATCACCATTAGGCCCTAAAATACATGATTTTTCATCTTTGTAAACTATTGGCGTATTTTGATTTGATTGAATTATTCTATCAATATTTATTATTATTTTCATATCTACTCCTCTTTGTAAACAAGACAAAGTGTCTAAAAATTTTTTTAAAAAAATAAATCTGTCAATCCTTATAAAATATGGGAATATTTAATTTACTTACGTGCGTCATGCATTTTACTTAAAACTGGTCCAATTCCATTAAATGTACTATATGGTTCATGAAGCTCCACATATCCATCAGGTTTTGTTACTCTATAATAAATAATTAAATATTCATTTTTTTTATAAAATATTACATATGTGCAAATAAATATAACTTGTACCTGATCATTTCAGAAATAATAAAGTCCCATTGATCTGCTTTAACAAGGAATGACATTGAACTCTCACGTACAAAATCAAATTCGTTATCAGGGAAAGGTAATCCATCGAACATATCCGCTTGTATAAAATTTAAGTTTGACGGTTTTATCTAATCAAATAGTAAATAGTATATTTATTACACCTTGTTATTTCAATTTTTAATTGTCAAGTTACGCACGCGTACTTACCTCATTTGGATATACTGAATTATTATCAAGTCCATAAAATAGGGATTTTTTATATTTACTTGCAAGATCCAACAACCAAGTTCCAGGTCCGCATCTTTTTTTTTTTTTACAAAAAAATTACTCAAAAATGCGTTTTTTTTTAAAAAAAAAATTTCAACTTACCCAATATCTAATACTTTACATTCTTCTCGCAATAATCTTTCTTCAATTGGAGAAGAAAAATTATTTTGGAATATACGGCTTTGAAAAAAATGAAACATATGTTCTCTATCAATATCCTCATAATTATTCGGTATATAATATTTTAATTCCTTTTCTACTTCTAAATCCGTCGTTCTATTATCAATTTCTTTATAAAATTCTATTTTTTTATTTTTACGTTCTGAAGACGAAATATTATTTCCCATACTTTTTTATAAATTCAGTAATCTTCCAAGAAAAAAATATATATTAAATAAAAGATTCCTAAAATGAAACTGCGATAAAAGAATTGAAGGGATCGATACCTACAAAAAAAGAAAAAATTTTTTAAAAAAAGGGAAATTAAAAAAATAAATAAAATATTATAATTTAATGCAGTAATATATTTTGTGTCAGATTTTTATTTAATTTAACAAAAAGATATTCACCAATCGGCCAAAATTTATCCATACGGAGAATACGGAGACATTTTCATGGGAGATCACTTCCAAATTGATGCATCAACTTATTTATTTTAAAGAATATTGCTATATGCAATTAATATTACATCATGGTTCCTGTAGCTCCCTTATTGTTTGTATAAGTTTAAATAAGCCTTTGCACTAGAGGTGCAACGTAACTGCCATAACAAAGTTACGTCAATAACGTCACTGCAGATTAATAATTTTTATTCTACAGCCAAATAGGATCATGCTTTTTTTATCATGCTGATATTTTTTTTTTAAGCTATAATTGCATAATTATTATTGATATTTTTGACGTTGTTTAATCAATGGTTTATTGTATTTATAGTATTTATAAGATGATCATTGGCGGCTGCAGAATAACACAGTTATTTGATAGGGGGGTTAGAATATCATCCGAACTGCAAAGCAGTTCGGATGATATTCTAACCCCCCTATCAAATAACTAATATATATAATATCGAGCTACGTCACGAGTTACAACCTTAATGAGTGATGTAGCTAAAAAAAGAAAAGTCTGAACCCTTACTTTGCACATAAAAAATTTTTATTTGAAATAAACTTTATTAAGCATTATTTACAGATCTACAGATCATTTCGAATTTTCGAACTACCCCAAGAGCACCCAAAAAATTCTGCGTAAATCATGTGATCATCACATATCACATGATTGGGATTAAAGAGTTACGTAATTAATAAATAATATAGCCTTACTTATCGAACACACTATATACCAGTTTTAGACGCTGATACTAGAACCAACTTAACACCCAAAAAAGTAACACCTATTTTGCGTCCTTGTCCAGGACAATGTGGGCATAGTGTACCTTTTAGTGGTGATTTACGCCCGAAATGTATTATTGTTTCCCTAACATCACAACTAATTCTTTTTAATGTTCATGCAAAAAAATTTATACCTAACAAAAATTTTTTAAAATTAGAAAAAACTTTTATTTTTCCAGTTACACCTTTACATATGCTTCGTACTCTAGCGTTTTCATTTACCAAACATAGATTAATTATACCCAATGTTTTACCTTCAACAGTCCCTATTTTATCTACATTAGATTCGTATTTAAATGCGAATTCAGAAATTTTTAATAATTCGATTAATTTAAATTTAAATATTTCTTCTCCTCTTTTTATTAATAATATATTTGTAGGAAATAGAGATTTGATTATTCAACTTTTAGAAATAGCTAAACAATTTTTGTTACGAAAAAATTTTACTTTTTATACTGATGGTTCTCTTACTAGCTTAGATGTTAATTCTTCTACTCAAACTCAAATGGGTTTTGCTTGGATAGAGATTACTGATGCAACTCCTAACTTAGGTCCTCCCCCACCATCATACAAAGGCGCTTTATCTTTTAATCCATCTTCTACCAAAGCGGAAGTTTACGCTTTACTAACAGCAATTATTGCAGTACCTGATGATAGTGAACTGGATGTATTCACGGATTCGCTCAATGTCATCCATACTTTTCACGTGGTCATGAACAAATTAACTTCTACAAGACGAATATTGAAATGCAACAATCATTTAGCGTGGCGTTTAATCGATATTTTAATTACGAAAAAATCCTTGATCGTAAGATTACACAAAGTTAAAGCTCACTCCAATGATTATTGGAATGAGTGAATGACATAGCAGATGATCTCGCCAATGCAGCACGACAACTTGCACCTTATGAAATCAACCCTACAAATCTACCGGGTTCATTAATGACCCCGATATGGGCTTCAATAGCACCGATTGATCGAGACATTAGAAAATTTTGTCATAACTTAACGGATGCCTATACTTTCGATCAATTCCTGGGTAATCCTTCGCTCTCACCTATTTTTGATAGATTTCCCATATCTTCAATACATTGGCCTCTTACTCGATCCTGGTTACAATACAATTCCACACCTAATGTATGCAGTTTTACTAAATCATCACACAACGCTTTTAAAATTAAAGCACTTAACCATATCCTTCCTTGTGGAGATATCCTCACAAAACATTATCCTGACCTTTATTCTAATAATTACATACCTTGTCCGGTCTGTAACAATTACCAAGATACCAATGAACATTTGGGATTATGTTCAAACCTTTTACCTGTCATTAATAATATTTTATTGGAACACAAACAGATATTACAACGCCTCCTTGTGGAGAATACTTCCTATAGTTCCGTTCTCATATCACAGTCTGTTGATCAACTTGAGCTTTTATCACCGATCTCTGATTCAAACTCTTATAATCACCCATTATATTTAATTATACACCAACTTGTGTCACAGGATTTATATAATCTTGTACGATCTTTCACTTTTAATGACAAACTTACCCGTTCAATTATATGGGAACTTTTAATATCATTTCATGAACATATTTATCAACAAATATGGCCTAAACATTGTTCTTTATTAAAATTATGGGAACAACGCAATGGAATTACATCCAAACGTAAACATGACTTTCAGAGGAAAAAACCAAAGAAACCACATGATTATCAACTTAATCAAACTACTGCTCGACCTAGAATTGCCTCTTCTTCTCATCACCGGTCACAAAATCTTTATCATCCTGGACCCAGGACGAACTCTTCATCCTCAGATGGTACTTCTTGCCGTTTGCTTCACCCCTGGTCCTCCACGGCTCCATCTACTCATCCTCTTCACTTACTGCACCTACTGATGTGGTTGATTTTGTGTACATGTAATTTTTTACATTCTGGTGGATGGTTGTCTTCTGTCCGGCATCCTAGTAGTTTTGAGTTAGATATAGATAATTTTTCTTCTTCATATAATTTTAAATTTAATTTTTTTAGTTCTTCTTTTTTGTTCGATAGTACTTTCTAGACTCCCAGTTATGCCTGATTGTTCTATTGAATAAGAGGCAAGACGACCCCTTTGGGCTCCTCCCAAGAGGTTGGGTCTATTATTAGCTTAGAATTTATTGTTCTTTTAGATCATGTTTATTCTTATTTAGCGTTCGACCCCAGTTGAGTCTATATTTTAAAAATAAAAATAAAAATAAAATAAAAAATTAATAAATAATAATTTAATTAAATAAACTTTTATTAAAGTTTCGCTTTTCCACTTTTAATATGGATATTGTAACTACTGGTAATTTACAAAAATGTAAAAAATGTCAAAAAAATTTACCTCTAGAAGCTTTCATTAATGAAAATACTCAGCAATTTAAAACTTGTAATATATGTCGTACTTTGCATATCAGCGGATTTGTTTACTTTTGCATAATGCTAAATTTTGAATGATTTTCATAATATCTGTCACCCAAAACTGGTTTGTAATGTCATAAAATCACTTGATTGAATATCACTTGACTAAATAATAAGTCGAGTGAAAATTTACATTTGCGAAACTTAAATTATTTAATGTAAAATAGACACAAAGAAACCCATTTCGTTAACAAAAACCCATTTCTCACATGCATAGTATTTTTAATGTGTATTATTAGAAAGTAAGTATGTTTTAATAAAACAAAAAGTAAAATAAAAATTTATATAGACACAATAGCTATGAATATTTATAAAAGTATTCTAAGACTCATTTAATATTTAAAAAATTTTTTTTTATATAATAACTTTCATAAAATTGTCCATTTTTTGCATTTCTCAAAACATATTATTAATTCTTATTTATCTTGCTGTAGACAAAATAGGAACTTTTATATTCAAACAAATTGTAAGCACATGTATTATTGATTTTTACACAAAAAAGATTTAGAAGCTATTGTATAAAGTGAGATTCCACAACAGATATTATCAGTATTGCTAAGAATAATATTTATTGTATTTTGGCTTAAAAGAACTATTTATCAAATTTATCAAATTATTGTATTAATAAAACCAAATAATTTTTTTTTAATGTTCGTCCCAGGTCCTACTGCGCCATATGTAATAATTTGTGTAACAAAAGTACCTTAAATAAACATGTTAATTAGAGGGTGAACAAATCCGCCGATATGGCAATATAAACATCTAATCAATCTAACACAGAGGTAGGACTTTTAACTCTAGAAGAAATGTCAAAACAACTATTTGAAAGAATTTTAGAAATCAACACTAATGAATATTTAGAAAATGATTTAACTAGTAGAGTAGATTTTAATTGCAATGTTTCAAAAATTTATTCTACCACGTCTTGATTTGGTAATTTATATTCTTCTTACTCGTTTAATTCCACATCATCAACAACAATATAATAAATATTTATGTGGTTGGGAAAAACTTTCATGGTGAAAAGATTTAAAAGGGAGTGGAATAATTTGCAAAAAAAGAAATTAATAATAAGTATGAAAGACAGATTACAAATCCACGCACTCACTTGGAAAGATCATAATAAACAGAAGTGATTTATTTTGTAGATAGGCAGTAAATTAATAAATTTATGAAATATTTTCTTTTTTAAAAGTAATAGAGTAATAAAGTTTTTCTTTAAAAGTTTCATAATAAAATACTTTAATTTTTTTGAATATCAGAATTTTTTACATAATTCTTTAATCTCAATCATGTGATATGTAATGATCACATGATTTGTGCAGGGTGCTCTTGCCTCTTGGGGTAGTTGAATTCGGCAGTATCACGTGATAATGTTAATGCACGTGACTTAATATTTTATTTTAGAATAGTTACGAAATATTTCAATAAAATAAAAAAAATATCTTGTACCCGGGTGGCCCATCGGGGTTATAATGGTAGGGGCGGGACTACCAACCACCATATGGTGGTCTATCAATTTGACGGGGCTGTGAGCACATTGTGGTCGACTCTAACCTTGTGGTAATGTGAAGATTGTGGTAGCATTCGGCAGACCGCATTATCCCCCAGAAATGGGAAGAAATTAGAGGGTAGATTTGGGGTCCCTGGGGCATTCTCGGGGGACGCCCTAAATCTTTGATCGAAGAGTGAGGTCCCGTAGTGGATGAAGTTCTGATTACTATACACGTATATTAGTAGTCCAGCATGAAAATTCTCCCATACTCTTATTTGTAATAGTTTTAGTTTTACTACTCTTTTAGTAATAAAATAAATAAATATAAAATAAAAAATTCAAATATTACATTAAAAGTTAATATCAAAGATCAAAAACACAGTACATCAAAGATCAAAACACAATACATCAAGAATCAAAGGTACACGCAATACATAATAAAATTACAACCAGAGTTCAAAAATATAATGTATCCAAAATCAAGAATCAAGAATGAAGGGATCCGTCCAAAATCCCAAAGCTTGGAATCCTGATGGTACAATATCCCAACATTCTAAATCCTGACACTCAATCCCAAAATGTCATAATCCTGAAATATTATAATTCCAAAACTTGGTATTTTGATTTTTCAGGATTTTAAATATCAGGATATTATATCTTTGGGATTCCGAGCTTTGGGATTTTTGCTCATAGATCAAGATCAAAAGTGCAATAGATCAAGAACAGAAAACCACACAACCCAATGTACATGTCAATTAGCAGAACTAAATGTAAAGCAAAGAAAACCCACTACTTATACCTCATATTGCGGTTTTACAAATCTGGGTCAAAGTAAAAGCCCATTCCTAGAGAAATGTTCCTAACGTTTTTTCACCAGAAAATCCACCCTCGCTTTTACTTACCAAAATGGACCTTTCTGAAGGTTCTGTTTCATTTTTTCTAAAAAGAAAAACAAGAACATCAGAAACATTTCTAGCGTTCTTTTTACTTAAAAAAAAAAACCTATTTCTCACTTCCACCCATCGAAATGGGCCTTTCTGAAAGCTTCATTTTTCATTTTTCCTAAAAAAAATAAAAATAAAAATAAAAATGAACGTTAGAAAAATTCCTAGTGTTCTTTCGCATAAAAAAACCACCCTTTCCACTCACTTATAGAAATGGACCTTTTAAAGGTTTCGTTAATAATCTGTTTCGCTTTCCTAATTGTTTACTTGTCAGACAAATCAGCCAATTTCAGGTGATGACGTAATCTAAATTACATTTCCCTTTAGAGTGCTTTGTGCTAAAAAAGAGAGGCTCAACGAACGTTGCAAACAACATTAAAAAAAATTATGATAAATTATGATGGAAAATCTTAGGTTATCTAGTCTATTAACATTAAGTATACTTTATACTGTAATTGGTTAAGCATAAGCTTTATGGGTGTATGAGTCATAACGTGATATCATAACTTAATATCGAAAAATATGTATACTAATTTATTGCAAAAATAAATCTTTGAGTGGAGTAATAGTGTTAAGCACTAACTACCGTTAGACCAAGTAATTATACACAAAAGTTAATTTTAATAAACTATCATTTAAACTTTGTTATAGCTTTAACAAAATTAAAATAATAAATGTCAATTAAGTTGGCATCACCACTTAAAATATAATTTTTTCTACTCCTCTTTGTAAACAAGATGAAATTGTCTATAATTTAAAAAATAAACCTTAGCCATTCCCCAAAAAATATATTGAAAATAAAAATGTGAATAATTAATTTACTTACGTAATTCATGTATTTTATTTAAAATTGGTCAAACTCCTTTAAATGTACTATACGTTTCCATACCTACTAGGTTTTATTACTCTATAATAAATAAATTAATGTCCATTTTAAAAAATATATCAGTTAACGAGCTTCTCTTGTAAAAAAAATATCGAAATGTAGAGTTGAATAATCACATGATCGAATTACATAAACGTGATCAAATTTTATTTGATCAAATCATCGATCAAGATCAGATCCATCCATACAGTTCCTACACCGTGAAATAGTGCGTCTTGCTTAACTTAAAAGTCTTTCAGTTACAATCGAACGAACCGGTTAAAATTATTTTAAATTATTTAAAATACAAAACTAAATTATTTATTTGAAGAGAAGGAAAAAATCTAAGTCCTAAGAAATCTAAAAGGGGTCAAGATTGATACTATAATATTCAGTTTCCATATAGATTTCTACGATATTAATGATTAGGATCATATGATCTCACTTTGATACTGTAATTTTGATTTTTAAAAGAAGAGAATTTTGGAACAATCACATTTTGATCTAATTCTCTTAAATATAATATTTTTAAATCATTTAATAAAACATGAAACATTATTTGTTTGCAAAAATCTTTAAAAAATAGATATAAGTATGTTATTTTTGTAGATTATTTTGTACTGTATTAATGAAATATATCCAAAATTTTTGGCACATATATATATATACAGTATATATATATATATATAGTAATAATTTCCCTTTGGTAGAGTCACTTTCTAAATCAATGATCAGTAAGTAACAGTATGATTTTCTCCATTCAAATTTTTTGTGGTTAAATCAAAAATATAAAAAAATTAATCTCTATTTATTTTATGTTATTTATTCTTTAAATTAAAGTATTAAATGGAAAAAACTCAATTACTCTGCAAATTTTTCAGACTTTTATTTTTTTAAGTGAACTTTTCTCGTAAAAAATTGTATCCGGCAACTTTATTGATTATTTTATATTTTTTTTTTATTACAAAACCATTACGTGTATACAACCGAAAGTGTTTCGATAGTGTTTCGATAGCACAAAGTTACTTTTGTGATTGTAAATATTGTTAGTACATATTAAACTTTTAATATGGAATACTATCATACATACTATTATCCACTAATAAAAGTTTGTGTAATAAAATTTTATGCCAGTTGCCACATCGTTCTTCGATTTGTAAAATGTATAACTGAATTTATTTCACTCGTATATGGTTATACTAATTTTCGCCCCTAGTGGGTCCGATTGATTAACATCTGGAATTTTTTGATTTGTAATCATTTGTAGTCATTCGGACCCATAACTTCTGCCGTCATTACATGGAATCCGAGCTAATTCCGCATCGGATCCAATGGGAACCTGAGCGAAAATTAATATAATTCGTAATCCGGTGATGTAATACAAAATTTTGACGATTCCTTCCTTATCTAAATGGTTTCACAATATTTCGATTAGGTTAGGGATTGGAATCGATTAATCGAAAATCGACAAAACATAGTAAAATCGATTCTCGAGAATCGATTCTCAGCAATTTTTTACATATAAGTTAACCTGACTTCAAAGTAATTTTTCATGCCAGCCAAGTGCTGATTATTTTTCTGAAATTAGAAACTGATTCAAAGTCAGGTTGGTTGTCTATAAGAAAAATCTTGAAAAGATTCGATTTTCGATTCCAATCCCTAGATTAGGTAATGACAATAAATATAGTTTCAGATGTGCATGATACATATTGTACATATTTTTTATATATTTTTTATTTTACGTTCATTAAATTTGTTGTAATAATTTTCATTTATTATAAATAACAGTACTACACACATAACTAAAATTACTGCTAATAACTCATTTCAAAATTGGTTTAAAATTTTTAAAATTGTTGAAAATGAAAAAGATATTCAAAAAAAAAGCCAAGAAATGCTAGTATGGAAATTTTGAATAAAACATCCAAAAAAAAGCCAAGTAATTTATGGAAAATAGTTGATTCGAAGGAATATCATGTAAATGCAATTTCACTTTATAATTTACTATGTATATAAATAATATGATTTAATTAATAAATATATTTTGATTACTTATTTAGAATCATGTTACAATTTCTACTATTGTTTCAGCTACCAAATCAGAAGAGATTGATGATAAAGTAATCTATATGGATGAAATAGAAAAAAGAAAAGAAGTATATGGTATATGTGAAGAATGTGATGAACCTGGCACAGGAGAATATTGGTGTCAACTTTGTAATGCAAAAAGATTTGAAGAAAACTTTAAAAATTGGACTAGTGGAAATAAAGATATTGATGAATTAATACAGCTTAATGCTGTATATTGTTTTAAATGCCTTGAATGGATACCTTTTATTTGAGAAATTACAAAATGTTACTTATATTACCAGTAATTATTAGATCAAATCTTATCTTCAGATTTATATTCAGAATATTGTTTACTGCTATGGAATAACATAAGATCCAAATACCAAAGATTATATGATGGTTTTAGAATATTGTGAAAATGGAAATTTAAGAAATTACTATTTAAATAATCCTGATTATAATATGAAACTTTGTAGATTATCAGCAATTGCAAATGGACTGTTAAGTATCCATAATGCTGGAAAAGTCCATAAAGACTTTCATTCAGGCAATATATTATGTAATATAGCTTTCTTTATAAGTGATTTAGGAATGTGTCAACCAGCAAATAATAAAAAGAAATCAGATAAAAAAGGAGTTTATGGAGTATTACCTTATATGGCACCAGAAGTTTTACGTGGATATAAATATACAAAAGCAGCTGATATTTACTAATTGTATCAAATATTAAACAAATGGGATGAAGAAGAAGTGAAATCCGATAATGAAATTTGTTCTCAAATGTGGGAATATGACAATAAAATTAGAAAAAAAAAATTTAAAAACAAATCAAATGAAAATAAGTCTGAAAGTATTAAAACTCATCCTCAAGCAATCTATACAAGTAGATTGTTAAATTTCAAAAATCTCCCAGAACCAGTAAATTCATCAGATTTATCATCATTTCAAGTTAATTCGGGTAAATTTTTAATTAATTATGAAAAAATCTTATTCAAGTTTTAACGATATCAAATTTTTTTTTCAATAATAGATGATGTTCCATCAATATCAGAAAATCTAAGTATAACCATTATTAATATTAATTATAAATTTATATTTTTATTCTAACATTATGTTATTGTTTAATTTATAGTTTCAGAATGCTTTGATTGTAAAATTTAGTGAATTAGGTAAAATAATTTATTATTATTTTATTCGTCTAATTTTATTTAATTATTTTAATAATAGATCTCAACGAAATTAATCAAGAAGATGATAATTTGAATGATAAGTCTTAAATTATAATAGGTTTTTTTTCGGAAACTAAAGATTTTTATTAAATTAGGTTATATTTTAGTATTATATCTTAGTGGAAATTTTTCAGTATAGAGATAAACTTACTGCAGCTAAACTGTACTGTACGAATTTTTTTTAAAATTTATCGTACAGTACAGTACAGTAATTAAAAAAATTCGTACAGTACAATTTATCTCTATACTTGTAATTTATATTTACAATTGCGTATAACTGATAAGATTAAAAAATTTTTTATAATTATAAGTCGAATTATAAAAGTAATTTAATAAATTGAATGTTCGTTAAATACTAAAATAATTTAAATTATTAAATATATATATATATATTAGGTTTCAAATTAAAAGATGATATTTTATAAAGCACAAATGTACAGTATTACATGTTATTATTAGCATCAAAGTTCACGTTAACTATTTTCCTGCTAAAATGCGATTTCGCCTTTCAAGCAACATAATCTCTTTTTCGAGTTCATCATTTGTTTGTTTCTGAAGAAGTAACTTTTCTAGCACTAGTTTATTAATTTTTACTTGCTGATCAAGTAAATTATCATCGTCTATTAAAATAATTTCATTTTCATTTTCCTTGTTTCGTGAATTACATCTCTGTTTCTTTGATGCACTAGAAACTTTATTTGAAGATTTTAAAGGTTGCTTGTCTTTACGTCTTTTTTCTAAATAATTTAAATAAATATACAATTATTATGCTATTATCATAAATATATTTAAAAATAAAATTGTAATATAATTAAAAGTTACCTGCTCGTTTGTCAGCTTGGATTGATCGTGCTAATTCAGATTTATTTCGATAAGAATCTGGAACATTATACTGTTCGTATACACGGACATTTTCCCATTGTCTTTTGTCAAAATCACGCCCTCTTAAAAATAATTAGTAAAATTAGATGTCTTTTTGTTAATATTTTTTATTATAGAAATGAATTTGTTAATATTACGCCTTAGTAGAATGGTAATACAGAAAAAAGATGTACATTACCGAAAAAAATAAGTTCAGATAAAAAATAATTTTACTTCGCATTTTAAGTCTTTTTATGTTGATCAGCAACTGCTTACGAATTTTTTTTGTCACAAAAATTGTACTTTTACTCTTTTGGGGTGTTACGATACGATAACATGTAGTGTAAGTAAAATATCACGCACGTTCCATACAGATCTACATTGTTTATTACCAAATAAGGAAAGACCTAGACCGTTCTATTGTGTATATAAAGGGTCACGTGACCATAAGTGCGTGATGTTTTACCATACTTACATACAAAGGTTTCCATACACTACATGTTTACTATGCTCTCTAATTTTTGTATATAAATAGTAGTACAAACAATAATACAAATAAATAATATAAAAGTGCGCAATTTATTGAACTTCATTCAATTAATAATTTTTTTCTTTTGCCTATAATAATTCTGGAATTTATTTCGAGTAACGTAGTGAATTATAAAACTAAAATTAAATTTATAATCCACAACTCAAAATAATTAATATGTATGAAAAGCCAAAAAATTTATGGGAGGAAATTGATTTTGATAGATATCAGGTAATAGCAATTTAATAATTTTAATAATTATAATTATTTTATTGAATTTTTGTAGTTAAAAATATTAATAATTTTTTGTCTATTAATAGTACCATGTTACAATTTCTACTATTGATTCAACTACTAAATCAGAAAATGTAGATGAAAGAGTAGTTTATATAGAAGATTTAGAAAAAAGAAAACAAGCATATGGAATATGTGGAGAATGTAAAGAACCTGACACAGGATATCAATGGTGTCAATCTTGTAATGCTAAAAGATTTAAAAATAATTTTAAAAATTGGACTAGTGGAAATAAAGATATTGATGAATTTATACAATAATCACAACTTAATGCTGTACATTATTTTAAATGTCTTGAATGGATACCTTTTGAAAAATTTCAAAATATCGCTTATATTACAGAAGGTGGTTTTGGTAAGATTTATTCAGCTGAATGGCTTGAAGGATATATTGATTATTGGGATATTGAAAATCAAAAATGGCATAGATACAAATATTTAGATAAATATGCATTAAAAAGTTTGAATAATTCTTCTGATATATGTTCAGATTTTTTAAATGAGATAATTTAACTTACTTTGTCTTAAACTACTGTATATGTTGTATGTGGTTTCTGAATACCGGATCTTGGTCAGCATTACGAAATCCTAGTCTGGTACTATGCTTTAATTCTGGTCAACATCCCATATCCACATATGTGGATTCAGAATCCACATAGATTCCGTTTCCACTTACAACATATATAAATATAAGGATCATTGTTATTTGCATTTATTTATTAATAAAAGTTTTCCTTTTTGATGATAATTAGATTAAATCTCATCTTCAGATTTATCTTGTTGATATTGTTCGATGTTATGGAATTACTCAAGATCCAAATAATAAAGAGTATATGATGGTTTTAATTTATTGTGAAAATGGAAATTTGAGAAATTATTTAAATAAATCAAATAATTATATTAATTATAAATCAAAAATTGATCAATTACAACAAATTGCAAGAGGACTTTTAGATATTCATAATGCTGAAAAAGTTCACAAAGATTTTCATTCAGGTAATATATTGCATGATGAGGATTCTCTTCCATTTATAAGTGATTTAGGAATGTGTCAACCAGCAAATAAGCAAAAAGTTAAAGAAGAAGGAATTTATGGAGTATTACCATATATAGCACCAGAAGTTTTACGTGGATACCAATATACAAAAGCAGCAGATATTTACTCATTTGGAATAATAATGAACGAATTTCTTTCTGAAAAAATTCCTTTTAATGATATTCCTCATGAGGATTTTTTAGCTTTTAAAATTTGTAAAGGACTTAGACCAACAATTTCTAAAGATATACCAAAATTACTTGCAGATTTGATAATAAAATGTTGGGATGCTGAAATAAAAAATAGACCAACCACTAAAGAATTGCATCAACTATTGAAGAAATGGTATGATGAGATTGAATATAGTAAAGATAATGAAGATGGTGAAGATGGTGAAGATGGTGAAGATGGTAAAGATGTTAAAGATGGTAAAGATGTTAAAGATAGTGAAAATGTTAAAGATAGTGAAAATGTTGACAATAGTCAAAATAGTGAAATATATTTTCAAATAAAAGAATGTGATAAAATTAGTAAAGAAAAATTCAAAAAGAGATCAAATGATGATAAATCCAAAAACTTCAAAACACATCCACAAGCAATTTATACTAGTAGACTTTTAAATTTCAAAAATCTTCCAAAACCAGTAAATTCTTCAGATTTATCATCTTTTCAATTCAGTTTAGGTAATTAAATTTTAATTTTGCTTTATCATATAGTCCATTTTACATTATTAATGTTATTTTATTTTTAATAGATGCTAATTATACTACTCAATCAACATCAACAAATCCACGTAAGTATTCTCTTAATTATTATCAATTATTATAATTATTTATTCATATTATTGTTAACATTTAAATACCATGAATACATAATATGCAGTTTCAGAATGCTTAGATGTTCAATTAAGTGAACTGGGTAAGTTATTATCTATTTGTAATTTTACTAATATTTCCTTTCTAATTTATCCAATCTATTTTTTTTATAGAACTAAATGAAATTTGTCAAGATAGTGAACATAGTAATAAGTAAATTTCTTATATGTGAAAGTTAGAGTAAATTACTGGTTTGAGTGTTGAAGTTAGTTTTACTTCTATTCTACTTTCATTTATACTTTATAAATTTTTATCTTAGTTTTTTTCTACGTAGTATATTATAGTATATATAGATTTATTGGATTTTATATTTAAGAATATTCTGTATAAATAAAGATTTTAAATTTTTTATTATGCTTATTTGATGATTATTATTTGATCGTTTGAATGTAAAACTGTGATATTTGCAACTGTAAATATTCCACTCAATGTATTTATAAAATCATATTAATTATTATGCATAATAAATGTTTGGTTGGTTTGTCCTAAAGTATTTAAATGATCAATAAATTTATTTTAATACCTTTTTTATTTATTATTTATATTTAAAATTTTTATCACTTATTGATGTTTTAAACAGCGAGTTTACTTTTAATAGTTAAATTTAAAGGAAGAAAAAGCCATTTTATATTAATGGGATTCTTAATATAACTGATGGCCCTTCTGAAGTGAAATAAATAAATAATAAAACAAGGAATCTTTGATGCAATATTACATATATTATAATTTGGAATGTTATAATGGATTCAAATATTCAATAATTTCATAGTTAATTATTAGCCATACAATTATTAAGTCTACATTTTATTATTTGAACAAATAACTGAGCTATGATCTAAAAAGTAGTACTGATGATTGTAACAGATTGTAAAAAATAATAATCAGAAACTATTAAAAACACAGCCTATTAAGAACTTAAGGTAGTTGATCAAGTTACTCAAATTCATTTTTTTTTTTTTTGAGATGAAAATGATGTAATTAATTACACGATGCTCTATTATGTATATAAGCGATAATAAGTGATCATGTTATTTTTTCTTCACCTTGATTTCCGCAATTGGCCTAATTGATTTTTATCCCGTAATATAAATCTTAAATCGATAGTTTAAAGAATTTACGGTTAATTCACCTTATTCTATCAATGATTATAAAATACCAGCTACTTCCATTCAAATCATTCCATCACATTTGCTTTTGCGTTAAACATAATAAAGGTACTATAGATATCAACTTTATTTTATTTATTATCAAAAAAAAAAAATTTTTTTGAATAGAGATAGGCATTTAGAAAACGGATATTCTTTAATCTGTAAATAACAACAACAATATTATTTATACTTTATAGCAATCATCATCATTAGTGAATAATTCTTTATCATAGGAAAAGTGTGATATATATACTGTATATACAGTAATTATGTATAACAAGATCATAGGTTTACTAAATTCAGTGGATGTGAAAATTGAGAACATTACATTGGATACTAGCAGTATCATAGTATATATTATGTATTAGTTACCGTACATGATAGCAATAGGAATTTTTGATATTATAAACCTCATATCAATCTAAGAGAAAGAGGTGCAACACCTCAAGAGTTTGTTCATATTTAATAATAAGTGATCGTTTTTTAATATTCGTAGCTCATGTGATTCATATAATAATTATGTTATTTGATGCGCATTTCAGATTATATTATAACAGAAAATGAATGAAATTAATTCTTTTTAAAGTAAAAATTATTTCAAAGAAAAACTAATTTTATTAATCAATAGGCTTGTTAGTAAATTTAGAATATTTAGATCAATTAACCTAATGCTGGCCGAACTCACGGCATTTATCATCTTATAATTTTCTTTTATTTCTTTCCAATATAATAATAAGTAATGTTCACAATCTTGAAGGACAAAAATAATAAATTGATCGAAATTCGGTTCAGCTAAGAATTTTTAAAGAATGTTTGTCTTAATAAAAATTCTCCTGCACTAATTTAATTGATTGCTAACCAGTTTACTAACGAAAGTAAAGTAGTGAATTGCATATACTAGATCACGTTATTCAAGGACTATCGTAACTAAACTATAAATAAAACAAGGACGTTTGTATTTTTTATATAAACGCTACTATTTAATTAGTGTTTAAAATTTAAACGCACCCCCATGGTATAAGTCAAAAATGAAGTTTTAAACCCTTTTTTGCCATAGTAAGTAAAGTTGTAGAGAAGGCAAAAATACACATATAACGTGAGTTTATTTATAAGTGTATAAGGTATAGCGTTTATTCAAAAAAATCAGAAATTCTCCGGTATCACGTGATAAAATGATCAGCATTACAAAAAAGGGTGTGTTCAAAGCGCAGGTGCGTTCAAATTTTAATCCCATTTAATTATACTGTATAAATGAAAACCACATTATTTTTAATCGAAATGAAAAAAACTATTTTTTATACTATAGGTAACGAGCGTTACTTTCATAAAATAAAGATATTTTTATAATAAATAATAAATTTAATCTTCCAAAATATAATATATAATATATAATACTTTAAAAAAGTTTGTATAATAAATTATAATATCGTACTTAGTCATTTTATATGATATCAAGAGTTTAGGATTTGAGATTTTTTTCTAGAAAACATTACATCTGGAAACATGGCAAAATTATAATAAGGATAAATCTAATTGTAACAGCCTGTTACGCGTCTTATTTGTAACAACCCCAATTTTATCCAATTAAAATTTAAGATCAGGCGTAATGTAAACAAAAACAAAAGATCAGTCGTGTAACTAAGACAAAAGAATTTTTTAAAAAATTTCAAGAAACTCATTGCTGAAACCTGTGATTTTATGACATCGCTTTCACTATAGTATCACGTTATTATTTTAGTAACGTAACAATGCATTGTATGTTAATACGAAATTGCAATACATCTACAATACTGTAATTGCGTTGTTTGATACATTGTGACTGTATCATAAATATGGCTTTTTTTATATTAAAATTTTTTAAGTATTATTTTTTTCATTTTCATAATATTGATGTTGAAAATGCGATTACAATGCTTATAATTGCATAGTAACGATGATGATACTATGTTATACTGAAATAATTAAATTGTTTTTATGCGCAGATATTTATACTTAAGTATCAGCTAATGTAAGAAAAAAATTTAATAATAATTGCTTAGAATATTTCTGAATGCCATTCATTTTTTTTATTATTTTATATTTCCTAATTATGTTAAGCAGGAAAAAAAAAATCAAATTTCGGGGAAAGCCCTTATTTATATGAAATTATGTATCACGTGATTAACGTGACAATTTTAACAGATCAGCCACGTTTTTTTAACAAACTTTTTTCCTTTCTCACAGTCTCACCCTTTCCCTTCCTCTCTTTTTCTCTTCCTCTTGTTTCACTCTCTCTAATAAAAATCTTAGCAGAACATTTAGCAACATTTTGATATTTTTCTTTATTAGACAAAAATCATTGCATTATGCAATGAAAATTAAGAGTTCGTAACGATTTTTTTTTTAAAAAAAAAACAAGTATATTATAACTTAAATGACAAAATAACTTCGGTAAAAAAATGGATTGAAAAAAAGCTAGAGAATGAGTATATTCGTTATTTTAAATATGATGAATTTATAATCGATGAAGAAGAAATTGGTAAAGGAAGGGATATCAGAATTCCAGTAAGATTTTTTTCTTTTTTTTTCATCTTTATTTTTTCTTTTTTTTTCTTTCTTTAGATGGTTCTTTCAAGTTATTTTGGGAGACATTTTGGTAAAGTTTCTTATTTATTTCTTCCATCTTTTAACAAATGGTTCTTAACAATTCATTTTTTTCTCTTTTTAGGCGGTTCTTTTGTATTTCTTGTGGTAAGTTAAATTTTTTTTCTTTCATTTTTTTTTATTTGACAAAACGTTGACTGGCGGTTAACTAAAATTTTATTTTCTTGTTTCTTTCTTTTTTTAGACGATCAGGCCTTTGGACGCATGAAATTTCCAATGGTTGATTTCTTTTTACTTTTTTAAATTCTTCTGAATTAAATTTTTTTATTTTGATAAGATGTTAACTATTGTTTCATTTTCTTTCTTTGTTTTTAGACAGGTCAGGCCTTTGGATGTGTGAAATTTTCAAAGGTTAGATTTTTTCCTTTTTAAGTTCTTTCGAATTAAATTTTTTCATTTTTATTTAACGAAACGTTTAACTAACGTTTCATCTTCTTTTTTCTTTTTTTAAACAGTCATGTTCTTTTCTTTTTTTAGGTTTTATGTTTCAATACTTCTCTTTCAGATGTCCAGACCTTTTGAAGTATTACTATTGGCATATAATGAATCAAAATGAAAATTTGACTTTGATACTGGATACAGAAGAGCGAATACAAGAATTTAAAGTGCTCCCTCATCACGAAAAGTTATTTTACTTGTTTTACTTATAAGTTTCGAATAGCAGAATAGGTATTGGAATCTTGAAATGGTAAGTTTCGTAATGGAATTTACCTTTTTCTTAGTATTGGAAACATCCTTATTTTTTACTTTTTTTTTGTAGTTATAGAAAGGCTTTGATTGGGTACCTGGAGATTGGAGACGGTAAATTTCTACGCGAAACTTACTTTTTTTGTTTTCTTTAATTAGAAACATTTAATGTTTCTTTTATTTTTTTCTTAGATCTCGGCGGACAGATTGTTTTTTGGAGTTCATGGGATTATTTCGTTTTAAGGAAAAGTTTCATTTTTTTTGTTTTTTTTCAAATTACTATAGTAAAACATGTTTATCAAATAATTTTATTTTCAGATACTTTTATACATTTTATATAAAGAATTATATTATCAATACTTAATAATGAATAATTTAATAGTTAGCTAGCGTAATATGTAATATATAACATTGTTTGCTTTATTAAATATATGTGCAAATAAAGTGTGTTTACAAACGTTGTAAAAAATAAATTACTACGTTTTGACTATATGTTTACAGTAGTAAAATAGGTGCAGTGAAATCGTTTTTATGGTAAATTAAAAAAGCGTAGTGGCGATACATTTTCTCACTTTTGCAACGTGTTGTATGACGTTCAATAACGACATCTTCCCCAGTATCGCCAGAAAATTTTTTCACCCCCACGTGACCCTAAATAATTTGTCACCCGGGTCACATCCCTCCACTTTCTCATTTTTTATAAGTATTCTGGGGACTTAGATTTTTTTCGGTGTCTAAAATCCTAGTCGTCACACGTTATTCGACACATGGTTAATTTCTTAATTCCAGCCAAATCTCATAATGCCGGCCAAAGTCACGTGGGGGTGAAAAAATTTTCTGGCGATACTGGGGTAGATAATAACGACGGATGAATCACGTGATTTTGGCGCAGTGTCAACGTTGTTTAAAAATATGAAGTTTCTGCAATGCTGCTTATAACTTAAAATTTTGTCTATGAAACTGTCTTAAATACATTAAGTAAAAGTTTTCCAAATTAAATTTTGCATATAAAAATTTTATTTGTAAAACACATATTAAATTTATTATTAAAAAAAAATAAAAAAAGGATGTTACAAATAAGATATGTAACAGGCTGTTACAAATACATTTTTTCTTATAATAATTACTATTTATTTCTATAGTATTTCTATTTTAATATTTATTAATTAAAGTTTTTAATACCGGATTTTTAATATTAAAAGAAATTAATCAACTATGACACATTAAACTTTTAATATTGAATTATCTATTAATAAAATTTATGTAATTAAAGATATAATAATACCAGTTTCCATATGTTCTTCAATTTGTAAATTGTATAATTTAACAAGTGTTCTTTTTCATGGGGAGTTGGATAATCACAAAATTGTTGGTTTAAGAGTTTCGTCCTGTCTGTCCTACTTCNATCACAAAATTGTTGGTTTAAGAGTTTCGTCCTGTCTGTCCTACTTCGGAAAAAAAAAAAAAATTGTGCAGATCATGCCCATATTTTGATAATGACAAAGTAGATCAAACGAAAATAAGATCAACAAATTTTCATACCAAATCTACTCTGATCAGCAAATTAGATTCCAAATTTATATTTGTTTTCAAAAAAATCTTACCATCTTACCATCATGATTAATTTTTATTATTATTTATCTAAATAATTTCACAATGATTCGATTAGGATAAAAATGTGTGGCTGACAAAATTGTTGATTCTAATTGGTATGGATTTTAGCTTCAGGTGCGCACGATACATGCATATTTTTGCATACTTCGGGCTCCGTAAATAAAATGACTTTACAGTTCACTAAACTTGGTTTAATAATTTCATATTTTGTATAAAGTAAAAAAATAACAGTAATACACACGTAACTAAAATTACTGTAATTAACACATTTATTTTGTAATTGATAAGTATGGAATTGTTAAAAAAGATATTCAAAAAAAAGCCAAGAAATTTATGGAATTATGTTAATTCAAATAATTATCATGTAAATGCAATCGCAATTTATAATTCATTATAAATAATATTATTTAATTAACATATATATTTTGATTACTTATTTAGACTCATGTTACAATTTCTTCTATTGATTCTTCTACCAAATCAAAAGAGATTGATGATAGAGTAATCTACATAAATGAAATAGAAAAAAGAAAAGAAGCATATGGTATATGTGGAGAATGTAATGAACCTGGCACAGGATGGTACTGGAGTCAACCTTGTAATGCAAAAAGATTTAAAAAAAATTTTAAAAATTGGACTAGTGGAAATAAAGATATTGATGAATTAATACAATATTCACAACTTAATGCTGTACATTATAAAACATGCCTTGAATGGATACCTTTTGAGAATTTACAAAATGTTACTTATATTACCAGAGGAGGCTTTGGTAAAATTTATTCAGCTGAATGGCCTGAAGGATATATTTGGTATTGGGATATTGAAAATCAAAAATGGGAAAGAGTCAAAAACTGTAAAGTTGCATTAAAAAGTTTGGATAATTCTTCCGAAATTTGTACTGACTTTATAAATGAGGTAATTAAATAAAAAAAAAAATTAATTTATTGTGCGATATATACAAATTGTCATTATAATTTTATTAAACTTTTTTTTTTTAAAAAAAAAATATTAATTATTAGATCAAAACTTATCTTCAGATTTATATTCGGAATATTGTTTATTGCTATGGAATAACACAAGATCCAAATACCAAGGATTATATGATGGTTTTAAAATATTGTGAAAATGGAAATTTAAGAAATTTCTATTTAAATAATTCTAGTAGTATTAATAAACTTTATAGATTATCAAAAATTGCAAATGGACTGTTAAGTATCCATAATGCTGAAAAAGTTCATAAAGACTTTCATTCAGGAAATATATTAAATACTGTATACATAAGCGATTTAGGAATGTGTCAACAAGTAAATAATAAAGAGAAATCAGATAAAAAAGAAGGAGTTTATGGAGTATTACCTTATATGGCACCAGAAGTTTTACGTGGATATCAATATACAAAAGCAGCTGATATTTATTCATTTGGAATAATTATGAATGAGTTTCTTTCTGAAGAAATTCCTTTTAATGATATTCCTCATGATCATATTTTAGCTTTTAAAATATGTAAAGGACTAAGACCAAAAATTTCTGAAGATATTCCAAAATTTCTTGTAGATTTAATTATGAAATGTTGGGATGCTAAAACAGAAAATAGACCATCTGCTAAAGAATTGTATCAAATATTAAAAAAATGGGATAAAGAAGACGAGAAACTCAGTAGTGAAATTCGTACTCAAATGGATAAATATAATAGAAAAATTAGAGAAAAAACATTGAAAAACAGATCGAATGACAATAAGTCTGAAAGTATTAAAACTCATCCTCAAGCAGTATACACAAGTAGATTTTTAAGTTTCAAAAATCTTCCAGAACCTGTAAACTCATCGGATTTATCATCATTTCAAGTTAATTCGGGTAAATTTTATTTTTAATTTTAATTATGAAAAAATCTTATTCGAGTTTTAACGATATCAATTTTTTTTAATAATAGATGATATTCCATCAGTATCAGCAAATATAAGTAAGTATAATTATTATTAATATTAATTATAAATTTACATTTTATTCTAACACTATGTTATTGTTTAATTTATAGTTTCAGAATGTTTTGATTGTAAAATTTAGTAAATCAGGTAAAATAATTTATTTGAAGTAATTTATTATTTTATTCGTCTAATTTTATTTAATTATTTTAATAATAGATCTCAACGAAATTAATCAAGAAGATGATAGTAATTTGAATGATTAATCTTAAATTATAGTAGGTTTTTTTTGGGAATAGTCAGAATATTATTTAATAAATTTAAAAGTAAAATTTTTATTAACTTAGTTTATATTTTATTTACTTTAGTATTATAACTTAGTGGAAATTTTTTGTCAGGATTAAATAAGCGAAAAAATGTATATATTAGAAATTATATTATTTATTGGGATTGTGTTAAAATGTTAAAAAGAGACGCTCAACTTTGATTACAAAACGTTAGAAACGTTAGAAAGCGAAATGTTTGATAAATAGAATTTCTGATATGATGACAAAAAATGTTACTTGGGTTAGTAGCTGATCTATTAAGCATTAAGAAAACTACTTCAAAATTAGTTGTAGTAAACAAACATAATTTTAAATCTATTATTTTTATATTTAAAAGTGATTTATTTTTATATATTTATTATTAGTTTTTTTATTTGAATAAATATTAAATAAAATATTTTTTTGTTTCTTCTTAAGTTATCTAGACTTTGCTTAATTTATTTTGAGGTACGAGTTAAAAAAAATTTTCTTTTATGAAACAGAAATTTACAATCATATCCGAGAAAAATATTAGTTCATTTATCATCTTATAATTTTCTTTTATCTCTTTCCAATATAATAAATTTAATAAAATACTGTATATGATCACGACAAAAATAATAAATTGATCGAAATTTGGTTCAGTTAAGAATTTTTAAAGAATTTTGTCTTAATAAAATTCTCTTACACTAATTTAATTAAGTATTGCTAAATATCACCGCTGGTGAATGTCAACTTACTAGAATTAGAGTAGAATTTTGGGCAGAATTAAAAATGCAATGCCTAATTTAATTGATTTACAATTGAATTGTATATAGATCACGCTATTCAATGACTATCAGATCAAAATATAATAACTAAATTACAAAAAAAACAAGAACATTTGTATTTTTTATATACTAAATGCTATTATTTCATTATATAAATGAAAAAATTATTTTTAATCGAAACGAAAAAACTATTTATTATACTGTAGGTAACGAACGTTACTCTCATAAAATAAAAATATTTTTATAATAAATAATAAATTTATTCTTCCAACTTGGAATAAAATATAAAATATATAATAATTATATAATACTTTAAAAAAGTTTGTATAATATCGTACTAGTCATTTTATATGATATCAAGGGTTTCGAGATTTGAGCCATTGAAAGATTTTTTCTAGAAAACATATATCTGTTGAAAAAAGTAACATTCAATCTATGGTAAAATTATAATAATTACTATTTCTATAGTATATTATTTATTAATTAAAGTTTTTTAATATTGGATTTTTAATATTAAAAGAAATGAATCAACTATAATGATGCCATTATATACTTAACGTTTAAACAATAACGTACCTTTTGGATAAATATTTTGCCAACGTTTCACGAGTGTTTCACGTGACTTGAGATTATAATATGATTTCCGGCGTAGCGTATTGGAAAGATGAAGAGATGTGATGAACAAGTGGGTTATGTGGAAGTGTGGAACGTCTACGGTCAAATGAAACTACAAATATAAAACTGTCCAGATTAAAATCCGCTTAACAAATAATATGGAATCAATTTTCATAAAGGGTGGATCTAATATACCAATAACAAAAAATGGACGTTTATATTTCTTTAGAATGTTTGAAGAAAAGATTTCATCGAACGATATAAAGAAAAGATATAGTTGGCAGGCAGTTAATAAGTTGAGCGAATAAGATATTGGAAACACGACTACACGATTATAAAGGACTACATTAGAGAATATGGCGGCCATTTTGCTAAAACCATTAAAATTAACAAAGTGAAATATATTTTAATGTATTTAAATAATGGACAAGATTTATCCAAGGCCACGTATCAATGAGCAATGACAGAGGATTTAGGGAATGGATTACAAATAAAAGCGCAAGATGAAATTCAGGAAACCGGGCAATCGAAAGACGTCTACCCTATAAAAAATTTTATCCATTATTTCTGTAAAAACTACGTAAAAATGAGCCTTTCCCGGATCCATTCACGGAAAATGTAAATAATTTGATAAATTCCGTGATATAAGGCTATTAATTCCGGAAATATGAGCCTTTTACGGAAAAAAGATGGAATATAAAAAAAACGGATAGACTTTTTTTACGGGGCTGACAACGTCGCACTAGTGCTCCGTACGGGTCAGATCAGACCCGGGTGATCGACCCGACTCGAATTTTGAATCGAATCAGGATTAATCATTTTAATGACTTGTAACCCGCATGACCCGACCCGTCGGGTTAGGGTCGTACTGTTGTTTTGAATCAGATCAACCCGGGTGACCCGNATTTAACGTTATTAAAAAAAATGGGAAATTAAAAAAATTATCATACAGCAATATGGAATGATGGTCCATTATATTAAGATGATCTTGGTAAAAAGAAATGGATAAGTAGTGCTCCGTACGGGTCGGATCAGACCCGGGTGATCGACCCGACTCGAATTTTGAATCGAATCGGGATTAATCATTTTAATGACTTGTAACCCGCATGACCCGACCCGTCGGGTTAGGGTCGTACTGTTGTTTTGAATCAGATCAACCCGGGTGACCCGGATGCCGCGGTTTTCGTAAGTAAAAGTTTTTATTGTATTTAATTTAAAATATATATTTAATATTATTTCATAATTCTTTTTAAAACTCTAGAGTTAATAAGACTTGGTTACGGAAAATTGGTGACTCCAATACGTCCAAGGTTATCTGGCTATTACAGATAAATAAGCTTATTGTATGCAATTATTGATAATATTATTGAACAAGTGTTCCAGTAGAACGAATTTTTTTTGGTGGAGCTGATCTACTGGCAACAAAATGATTCAGCCTTAAAACACAAACTGTTCGTGCATGTATGAGTTTAAATTTCTTTGATTTTTCACACTTACCAAGATTCCAAACTGAATTTTATATTAATTAATAAATAAACATTATTACAATAAAAATTGTAAAATTTTTCGTAAAAAAATTGCGTAAAATGACGATTAATTTAGCTGATCATAAATTTAATATAAATTCGAGTTTGACCCAGGTTATTCGGGTTAAACTATGATCGGGTCGAGTCAAGTTTGGTTACACGGTTGATCGATCCGAATTTTCAAGTCGAATCACATGAATATTCGAATCGAATTCAAATATCCCTTAAACCTGACCCAACCCGACCCGTTAGGAGCACTCCCTACGAACAACTAATTTGTAGATGCGTTAACTATCCTTCAGTATCCACGGTTCCGAATAACGATGTGGTAGAAAATTCTAATCAATTAAACTCTGTTTAGTAGTCGAATTAACGAAATAAGCGGAAAAGAAGAAAAAAGTGTATCTAAAGGTAAAGAAAAAGTTGTGGAGTCAGAAACCGAAAAATTGAATGAAAACAAGAAACGCATAGTGACATACAGGGTTGCAGAGACGACTCTGATAGCGAATAAACGTTCAACAGAGTAAATAAATTTAGGACGAATTAGGTCAAGTTGTTTTGGAAAAGGAATCAGATTTCTGGACAAGTGGAGAATTTTTGTCTAATTTCGCGTACGTTCCTATTAGAAAATTAATTAGATTTTATTTTTCTTAATGTATCTATTATTTAATTTCACAATTTGTATTAGAAATTTTTATATATATAGTTATTGATTTGATTAGAAAATTATAACCCAAAAACAGAAGAAAATATTAGAAAATTCAAAAAAAAAACTTTAAACCATGGATCGTAAATATCGGCTGCGAAAAGTGATCATGTGATCATGTGGACATATAAACTACTATAAATGTTATTTGATCTACACAATGCTTAGCCGTCACTGTAACGATTTTTCTATATTTCTATAATCGATTTCCAACTTCTTTTCATGTAATTCTTATTATTACATTAGTGGTTACTGTATTAAAAGTGACCAGAACACAAACCAATTGACCATTAATTATTTGGAATAACTTTTTGAATAGGGGTTTCGGTTATTTTCGGTTTTTTCGTTAACAAATCACCTGATCACACTAATCGCAATAATTAGTAATAGTTTATCAATTTTGTAGACTTTACACAATTAGTTTTTTTTTAGTCTCACGAGTCACGACTATAGTCATTTAGATTAGATCGGTTAGTTATAGGGTTATCGCCTTTCGACGATACCTCTAGGTATTTTATAAAATTATGTTAATCTCTATCATGATTATAAATAATTAAATAAAATTTAAAAAAGAAAAAAAAAATAACGTACCTTTTAAAGAATCAGGAATGAAATTGGGATTACGCCCGTTCTTATATTGAATTCAGTTACATAGACGCTATAACTGAAAGTAGTATTACACTTAACATAGAAGTACAGTAACCAATTTCTAATTATAAATACTTTATTATGACAATATTATAAATAAAAGAACATCATTCATATCCCATTACTTATTTCAAATCATCATCATATTAAACAAACGGAAAGATTACTACGGATTTCCTTTATTATAATTATGAATGAAAAGCACTTGCATCTACTATTCCGATAGCGTAATAATGTAATTTTCTTTACGCAATTGTGACCGAAAAAAATTCTGAATATCATTTGAAAATTTAACGAATTATAAAGAAGTCTGATTAATGGAACAATGATGTTTATGACCTTAACTAAAAAATGATTAATCTCGTTTCATATCATGTGAAAAGTATGTATTAGTTATTTACTAATCTAATAGTATATAAATGGGTTATCATCCGAAGGATGATGGCCCATTTATATACTAAACTAGATCAGTAAATAACTTTTTTATCATCCTAGATATAGTAATTGGTCCGCCAGTTTATAACTGGCGGAAAAAATCCTAAATACCAATTAGTAGCCAGGTGATAATATCAGTTACCATATATTCTTCAATTTGTCAATTTGTAAATTGCATAATTTAATAAAAAAAAAAATCTTAGCCACCATGATAATACAAAATTTTACGAGTTACGACCCCTTATTAATTCCACAATGATTCGATTAGGATAAAAACGTGTGGCTGGCAAAAATTGTTGATTCTGATTGGTATTGCTCAGATGTGCATGATACATGTTGTGCATATTTTTATATATTTAGTTGAGCTCTGTAAATAAAACAACATTACGTTCACTAAATTTGTTTTAAAAATTTCAATTATAAAGTAAATAACCACATATAACTAAAATTACTGTAGTTAACACATTTATTTCGTAATTGATAAGTATGGAATCGTTAAAAAAGATATCCAAAGAAAAGCCAAGAAATTTATGGAAAATAGTTGATTCGAATAAATATCATGTAAATACAATTTCAATTTGTAATTTATTATGATAAATAATATGATTTAATTAACAAATATATTTGACTACTTATTATTTAGGTTCATGTTACAATTTCTACTATTGATTCAGCTACCAAATCAGAAGAGATTGATGATAAAGTAATCTATATGGATGAAATAGAAAAAAGAAAAGAAGTATATGGTATATGTGGAAAATGTAATGAACCTGGCACAGGAGATTATTAGTGTCAACCTTGTAATGCAAAAAGATTTGAAGAAAATTTTAAAAATTGGACTAGTGGAAATAAAGATATTAATGAATTAATACAATACTCACAACTTAATGCTGTATATTTTCTTAAATGCTTTGAATGGATACCTTTTGAGAATTTACAAAATGTTACTTATATTACCAGAGGAGGCTTTGGTAAAATTTATTCAGCTGAATGGCCTGAAGGATATATTTGGTATTGGGATATTGAAAATCAAAAATGGAAAAGAGACATAAATCGTAAAATTGCATTAAAAAGTTTGGATAATTCTTCCGAAATTTGTACTGACTTTATAAATGAGGTAATTAAATAAAAATTATCCTGCGTATATACAAATTGTCATTGTAATTTTTTTTTAAAAATATTAGATCAAATCTTATCTTCAAATTTATATTCGGAATATTGTTTACTGCTTTGGAATATCACAAGATCCAAATACGAAAGATTATATGATGGTTTTAGAATATTGTGAAAACGGAAATTTAAGAAATTTATATTTAAATAATTTTGATGATAATATAAAACTTTATAGATTGTCAGAAATTGCAAATGGACTGTTAAGTATCCATAATGCTGAAAAAGTACATAAAGATTTTCATTCAGGCAATATATTGCTGGGTTTGGCTATGTTTATAAGTGATTTAGGAATGTGTCAACCAGCAAATAATAAAGAGAAATCTGATAAAAAAGAAGGAGTTTATGGAGTATTACCTTATATGGCACCAGAAGTTTTACGTGGATATCAATATACAAAAGCAGCTGATATTTATTCATTTGGAATAATTATGAATGAGTTTCTTTCTGAAGAAATTCCTTTTAATGATATTCCTCATGATCATATTTTAGCTATTAAAATATGTAAAGGACTAAGACCAAAAATTTCTGAAGATATTCCAAAATTTCTTGTAGATTTAATTATGAAATGTTGGGATGCTAAAGCAGAAAATAGACTATCTGCTAAAGAATTGTATCAAATATTAAAAAATTGGCATGAAGAAGATAAGAAATTCAATAATAATGAAATTCGTTCTCAAATGGGAGAATATGAAAAAATTAAAGAAAAAAAATTTAAAAATATATCAATTGAAAATAAGTCTGAAAGTATTATAACTCATCCTCAAGCAATATATACAAGTAGACTGTTAAATTTCAAAAATCTTCCAGAACCAGTAAATTCATCAGATTTATCATCATTTCAAGTTAATTCGGGTAAATTTTTAATTTTAATGATGAAAATCTTATTCAATTTTTAACAATATCAAATTTTTTTTTTAATAATAGATGTCCCATCAATATCAGAAAATCTAAGTAAGTATAACCATTATTAATATTAATTATTAATTATAAATTTATATTTTATTCTAACATTAGTATGTTATTGTTTAATTTATAGTTTCGGAATGTTTTGATTGTAAAATTTAGTGAATCAGGTAAAATAATTTATTTGAATAAGTAATTTATTATTTTATTCGTTTAATTTTATTTAATTATTTTAATAATAGACCTCAACGAAATTAATCAAGAAGATAATTTGAATGATGAGTCTTAAATTATAGTAAGTTTTTTTTGGGAATAGTCAGAATATTATTTAATAAATTTAAAAGTTAGTATTTAAAAATTTTTATTTTAAACTTAACTTATATTTTATTTACTTTAGTATTATATCTTAACTATCTTAATAACGGAAATTTTTTATGTCAGGATCAAATAAACGAAAAAAAATATATATATTAGAAATTATATTATTTATTGGGGACGTGTTAAAAAATTAAAAGAGACGCTCAACTTTGATTACAAAACGTTAAAAACGTTAGAAATCGAAAATGTTTAGCAAAATAGCGATGATGATAAAAATTTTACTTGTATATAAAGCATTAAGAAAAATTTAAAATTAGCAGCAAACAAACAAAAAATTTTAAATTTGTTATTATTTTTATTTTATATATTTAAAGTGATTCATTTATACATATTAGTTTTTTATCTGAATAAATTTTTAAATAAAATATTTTTTTTTTCTCTTTAAGTTATCTAAGACTTTAATTGATCCATCTAAAATTGTTTTTGAAACAGAGGTTAAAAAAAAGTATATTCTCTTTCATGATACTGAAACTGTAATCGTATTCCCTGAAAAATATTAGTTCATTTATATCATCTTAAAATTTTCTTTTTATTTCTTTTTAACATTAAAGTAAGTTTAATAGAATAATAAATTAATCAAAATTCGGTTTCTCCTGCAACAATTGATTAGTTTATTGACGAAATAAAGTATTGAATTATATATATATATAGGTCATGCTATTCACAACTATCGGATCAAAAAGCAAGAATGTTTTGCTGGTTGTTATATTTTTTTTTATATAAACGTTACTATTTAATTTTAAATGAAAAATTAATTATAATCGAAACTAAAAAAAAACTATTTATTATTACTGTATGATATAAACGAAGCGTTAATTTAACAAAATAAAAATACTTTTATAATAATAATAAATTCAATCTTCCAACTTGGAATAAGATATATATATAATACTTTAAAAAATTTGTATAATAGAAATAATGTACTGGTCATTTTATATAATATCATGATGAAGGTACTTGAGATTCGAGACATTGAAAGAATTTTTTCTAGAAACATTACATCTATTGAAACAAGTAACAATTTAATCTACTATGTAATCATGGTAAACCGATAATAAATACTATTTCCATAATATAATATTATTTCAGTTATTAATTAATCGGATTTTTAATATTAATCAACTATCATACCATTCTATCACATGATTATACTTAACGTTATTAAACGATAACGTACTTTTTAAAGAATCGGCTCGCTCTTACTAGTACATTGAATTTCATACTAGGTTTTATAATAAAGTAGTATATTCACTTAAATCTAAAAATGATTATTATAAATACAATGTAATTGCAGAGCAAAAGAACGATCATCATACACTTTTATTAACTTATTCAAGTCACCATAATATTAAGTTTAAACAAACGGGAAGATTACTACGGATTATCTTTACTGTAGTTATGAAGAATAAGAGAATGATAATTAACGATTTTACATAAAGTGAAATCACTTTAGAGTTTTCGGTATCTATTCCGATAGAGTAATAGTGGACGCATGCAATCGCGACCGAAAAAATTCCGAATATCATTGAAAATTTAACGAATTATAGAGAAGTGATTGCTGAATCAGATGGACAATGGACAATCATGGTGTTTCTGACCTTAACTAAAAATGATTAAACTCTTATCATGTGAAAAGTATATAATATTATTTATTACCCAATACTAACCTAGTTTAGATCCATTAAAAATTATGTACCGACAGCACAAAAAGTTACTTTATAATTATAAATATTGGTTAGTACACATTAAACTTTTAATATTGAATTATCTACTAATAAAATTTATGTAATTAAGGATATAATACCAGTTGCCATATATTCTTCAATTTTTAAATTGTATAAAAAAAATCTTAGCCATAATCATAATACAAAATTATCTAAAATGATTCGATTAGGATAAAAATGTGTGGCTGACAAAATTGTTGATTCTGATTGGTATTGCTCAGATGTGCATGATGCATATTTTTGTATATATTTAGCTGAGCAGCCTAAGCTCTGTTAATAAAACAACATTACGTTCACTAAATTTGTTTTAAAAATTTTCATTTATTATAAAGTAAATAACAGTACTATACATATAACTAAAATTACTGTAGTAAACACGTTAAAAAAGATATTCAAAAAAAGCCAAGAAATACTAGTATGGAAATTTTGAATAAAGAAAAGCCAAGAAATTTATGGAAAGGAGTTGATTCGAAAAAATATCATGTAAATGCAGTTTCAAATTATAATTTACTATGTATAAATAATATGATTTAATTAACAAATATATTTTTATTACTTATTTAGGTTCATGTTACAATTTCTACTATTGATTCAGCTACCAAATCAGAAGAGATTGATGATAAAGTAATCTATATGGATGAAATAGAAAAAAGAAAAGAAGCATATGGCATATGTGGAGAATGTAATGAACCTGGTACAGGAGAAAATTGGTGTCAACCTTGTAATGCAAAAAGATTTGAAGAAAATTTTAAAAATTGGACTAGTGGAAATAAAGATATTGATGAATTAATACAATATTCACAACTTAATGCTGTATATTATCTTAAATGCCTTGAATGGATACCTTTTGAGAATTTACAAAATGTTACTTATATTACCAGAGGAGGCTTTAGTAAAATTTATTCAGCTGAATGGCCTGAAGGATATATTTGGCATTGGGATATTGAAAATCAAAAATGGGAAAGAAACATAAATTGTAAAGTTGCATTAAAAAGTTTGGATAATTCTTCTGAAATTTGTACTGACTTTATAAATGAGGTAATTAAATAAAAAAAAATTAATTTATTGTGCGTTATATAAAATTGTCATTGTAATTTTATTAAACTTTTTTTTTAAAATATTAATTATTAGATCAAATCTTATCTTCAGATTTATATTCGGAATATTGTTTACTGCTATGGAATAACACAGGATCCAAATACCAAAGATTATATGATGGTCTTATTTTATTGTGGAAATGGAAATTTAAGAAATTACTATTTAAATAGTTCTTCTGACACTATAAAACTTTATAATTTATCAAGAATTGCAAATGGACTGTTAAGCATCCATAATGCTGAAAAAGTTCATAAAGATTTTCATTCAGGTAACATATTAGATACTCTATATATAAGCGATTTAGGAATGTGTCAACCAGTAAATAATAAAGAGAAATCAGATAAAAAAGAAGGAGTTTATGGAGTATTACCTTATATGGCACCAGAAGTTTTACGTGGATATCAATATACAAAAGCATCTGATATTTATTCATTTGGAATAATTATGAATGAGTACCTTTCTGAAGAAATTCCTTTTAATGATATTCCTCATGATCATATTTTAGCTGTTAAAATATGTAAAGGACTAAGACCAAAAATTTTTGAAAATATTCCAAAATTTCTTGTAGATTTAATTACGAAATGTTGGGATGCTAAAGCAGAAAATAGACCATCTGCTAAAGAATTGTATCAAATATTAAATAAATGGAAAGAAACAACATGTGATAATGAAATTTATTTTCAAATGAGGGAATATTATACAAAAACTAGAGAAAAAAAATTGAAAAACAGTTCAAATGAAAATAAATCTGAAAGTATTAAAACTCATCCTCAAGCAATCTATACAAGTAGACTGTTAAATTTCAAAAATCTTCCAGAACCAGTAAATTCATCAGATTTATCATCATTTCAAATTAATTCGGGTAAATTTTTAATTTTTAATTATGAAAAAATCTTATTCAAGTTTTAACGATATCAAATTTTTTTTTTAATAACAGATGATGTTCCATCAGTATCAGCAAATATAAGTAAGTATAACTATTATTAATATTAATTATAAATTTATATTTTATTCTAACAATTATATTATTGTTTAATTTATAGTTTCAGAATGCTTTGACGTTCAATTTAGTGAATTAGGTAAAATAATTTATTTGAAGTAATTTATTATTTTATTCGTCTAATTTTATTTATTAATTATTTTAATAATAGATCTCAACGAAATTAATCAAGAAGATGATGATTTGAATGATGAGTCTTAAATTATAGTAAGTTTTTTTTTTGGAAATAGTCAGAATATTATTTAATAAATTTAAAAGTTAGTATTTAAAAAATTTTTATTAACTTAGTATATATTTTATTTATTTAGTACTATATCTTAACGGAAATTTCTTATGTCAGGATCAAATAAACGAAAAAAATATATATATATATTAGAAATTATATTATTTATTGGGGGACGTGTTAAAAAATTAAAAAGAGACGCTCAACTTTGATCACAAACCGGTAGAAACGTTAGAAATCGAAAATGCTTAGCAAAATAGCATTCTGATACGATGATGATGAAAAATTTATTTGTATATCAAGCTTTAAGAAAAAATTTAAAATTAGCAGCAAACAAACAAATAATTTTATATTTGTTATTATTTTTATTTTTATATTTAAAGTGATTCACTTTTTTAATTTTTTTATTTGAATAAATTTTTAAATAAAAATTTTTTTTCTCTTTAAGTTGTCTAAGACTTTATTGCGGTTTTCAGAAATGTTGGCATTGATAGATTTTCAATAATATATTGTATATTTGTGTTTTTGTGTTTTTCCGGACATTTTTGGTGACAATTTCTGGACATTTTCCAGATATTTTCCGGACAAAAAAGAACACAAAATACAAAACATAAATACAATATTTTGTCTGTAAAATATCCGGAAAATATCTGGAAAATGTCCAGGCAATGTCCAGAAATTGTCATCGAAAATGTCCGGGAAAAAATTATATTTTGTTTGTTTTTTTTTTTGTCCAGAAAATATCTGGAAATTGTCCGGAAATTGTCATCAAAAATGTCCGGAAAAACACAAAAACACAAAATATACAATATATTGAAAATCTATCAATGCCAACATTTCTGAAAACCGCAATAATTGATCCATCTAAAATTATTTTTGAAACAGAGGTTAAAAAAAACGTATATTTTCTTTCATGAAACATAAACTGCAATCGTACTCATTTATATCATCTTAAAATTTTCTTTTTATTTTTTTCCAATAGTACAGTAAGTTTAATAGAATATCTTATAGTATTCACAATCTTAAAGGACAAAAAATAATAAATTGATCAAAATTCGGTTTCTCCTGCACCAATTAATTAGATATTGACGAAAATAAAGTATTGAATTATATATATATAGATCATGCTATTCACAAACTATCGGATCGAAAAGCAAGAATGTTTTGCTGGTTGTTATATATTTTTTTTTATATAAACGTATAGTTACTATTTAATTTTAAATGAAAAAATTAATTTTAATCGAAACGAAAAAAAACTAATTATTATACTGTAGGATATAAACGAGCGTTAATTTAATAAATAAAAAATATTTTTATTAGTAATAAATTCAATCTTCTAACTTGGAATAAGATATAATATATAATACTTAAAAAGTTTGTATAATAGAAATATCGTATTGTCATTTTATATAATACTATCATGATGAAGGTTCTTGAGATTCGAGATTTTTTTCTAAAAAACATTACATCTATTGAAACAAGTAACAATTTAATCAATGAAATCATGGTAAACCGATAATAACTGAAATACTAGTATTTCCATAACATTATTTATTAATTAATCGGATTTTTAATATTAAAAGAAATGAATCAACTATCATACCATTCTATCACATGATTATACTTAACGCTAACGATAAACGTACTTTTTAAAGAATCCGAAATGAAAATGGGATCACGTTCGCTCTTATATTGAATTTCATAGGTTTTATAAAGTAGTATCTTCACTTAAATCTAAAAGTTATTATTATAAATACTCTATTATGACAACATTAAATGTAATTGCAGAAAGAACGACCATCATACCCTTTTATTAACTTATTCAAGTCACCATAATATTAAGTTTAAACAAACGGGAAGATTACTACGGATTACCTTTACTGTAGTTATGAAGAATAAGAGAATGATAATTAACGATTTTACATAAAGTGAAATCACTTTAGAGTTTTCGGTATCTATTCCGACAGAGTAATACTAGTGGACGCACGCAATCGCGACCGAAAAAATCCCGAATATCATTAAAAATTTAACGAATTATAGAGAAGTGATTGCTGAATCAGATGGACAATGGACAAATGGTGTTTCTGACCTTAACTAAAAATGATTAAACTCGTTTCATATCATGTGAAAAACATATACAATATTATTTACAACTAATCCTAACCGAGTTTAGATCGGTCCATCACCAGTAACGCTGATAAAATAGTGCAACTTGCTATGATTATGAAACGAACGGATTAATTGTTAATTGTTGATTTGTTTTTTTTTTTAGAAAATACAAATAAATTATTCGGAAAAAAAATTGAAGCGGAAAAACAAGATACGAAAATGTCGAGTCAAAATAACGTAAAAATTAGTACTTCATTACTGTGCTGTTTTTTTGTATTATTATTATACAAACATTATTAACAGTATGCTTCAATAATTTTTATTTGGTAATTAGCGCCTATTTATTAAAAATTAATATATATATATATATATATATTACCAAATAAATATTTAATTAAGCTACTAAATTAAATAAATTTTTCATATATAAAAAGTTGTATAAATATAAGTATATATAAAATAATTGTTATACTCTATTTATACTATATCATAAAATAATAATAACTTATAAACTAATATAAAAAATATAAAATACTATAAAAATACTATAATAATATTATTAATCAGTTATTAATTAATTTTTAATTAATTTTTTTAGCCCAAAATCTAATTAATGAATATTCTGGACTAGTATATTTAAGTTCTTCTATAAGATCTTTTGTCATCATAATTTTATATTCTTCTTTAGAAATACCTAATACTGGACTTAAATTTTCCATCGCCACATCATTATCATGAAAACCTATAAAAATATCTTGATTAACCATACCAATCTTACCACCATTAGGTCCTAAAATATAGAATTTTTCATCTTTATAAGTTATTGGCGTATTTGGATTTGATTTAATTATTTTATCAAGATTTGGTAATAATTTCATATCTACTCCTCTTTGTAAACAAGATGAAATGTCTATAATTTTTAAAAAATAGATCTTAGTCATTCCTTAATAATAAATAGTTGATAAATATGAAGAAATAATTAATTTACTTACGCGCTTCATTTATTTTATTTAAAATTGGACCAAATCCTTTAGATATACAATATGGTTCATGAATCTCAACAAATCCACCAGGTTTTGTTACTCTATAATAAATAAATAAATAAATATCCATTTTTTAAATTATTTACATATTTATAATAAAGTTATACCTAATCATTTCAGAAATGATAAAGGTCCATTGATCTGCTTTAATAATGAACGCCATTGTACCCTGATGTACAAAATCAAATTCATTATCAGGGAACGGTAATCCATCAAACATATCCGCTTTCATAAAATTTAAGTTTGACGGTTTTATCTAATTAAATTTATATATATATATATATTAATTATTATACCTAATTACCTAATTACCTAATTACTATTTTATTAATTGTCACGTTACTAACCTCATTTGGAAATATTGAATTATTATCAAGCCCATGAAATAAAGATTTTTCATATTTATTTGCAAGATCCAACAACCAAGTTCCGGATCCGCATCTTATTTAAAAAATTACTCTTAAAAAAAAAAAAACTTAAAAAAAGTAATTAATTAATTTATTTATTTTAACTTACCCAATATCTAATACTTTACATTTTTCTTGCATTAATCTTTCTTCAATCGGAGAAGAAAAATTACCTTGATATATATATCTTTGAAAAAAATGAAACATATGAATCCTATCAATATCTTCATAATTATTCGGTAAATAATATTTTAAATCCTTTCCTACTTCCAAGTCCATAGTTTCATTTTTATCTAATACTATTTTTTTATTTTTACGTTTAAAAGTCGAATTATTATTTCCCATATTTATTTATTATAAAATAATAATACGATATACAAGAAAAAAAAAATATATTATTAAATAAAAGATTTCTCAACGAAATTGTGATTTTAAAAAATGTGTTCTATTTATTAAAAGAATTTGGAATTTAAACTCATTATAAATTTTCCGCCTGAAGTGGCAAGAAAATACGAATAATAAAAGAAAGTAGGAAGGAAGTTGACGTATTACAAGGGGGGTAATGAGTTATAAAGGAGGGGGAAAAGAATGTTAAAGAAAAAGAACGACGGGAGAAAAGATTAAATTAAGGGATAAATGACGTATAAAAAGGAGGGTTTTGTCAATTAATGAGCGAATATTGTAGAAAATAATGACAATTATATGATAATTATTAAAAAGGAATGAAAATAGTGAAATATAAAGAAGGAATCTAAATTAGAAAATAATTTATAAAAAATATAAATAATATTGAATATATATATATATATATTTATTTATAGTAAAAAAAGGAATTTGTTTATATAATAATAAAGGAAAAAAAAAACAGAAAGAGGATTTTAATATATTTTGTGGTAGTATGTGGGATTTACAACGTACAGTTTTACTTTTCCTTATTAGTTTTTATCAATTTGTTTTTATCAATTATTTTTAAATGTTTCAATCAAAATTATTCAAGTAAAAAGATTATTATATAATGATAGTATAATTATTTTTCTTTTAATATTTTCGATCAAGATCATTCACGAAATGTAAAAATACTGTATGTAATGAAAATTACTCATTATTATTTTAATACGACCAAATTTGGAAATTAACTTTCACAACATTATTTTCAAACAGTTTTATATAATAAATTATTTCGGAGGTATAACAAACCTAATTTAATCGGTTTTATTATGCGCCTTAATTAATTTTGTAATTCCGATTTAAATTTATTCGGGCAACAATGTAAAAGGAATGTTTACAGTTACAATACTTCATGTGATACGCGATGTAATTATATAAAAGCCGAAAGCCGAAAATGGTTCGAATTTTCAATCGGATTTAAGAATCCCATAAAATATAATTCTTGTTACCAAAAAAGAAAAAGACGGTTTGAATTTTGTTTTAATCGGAAATAAGAACCCCGAAAAAAAAATAATTTATTATATTATTTATTTATAATTTATAATAATAATTATTCTAATTTATTCTTACAAATCTCTTTTTAAATACAAATATAATTCGTTCGTACAAAATCTCTTTTTATTTAATACAATAAAATTTTTTAATATAAATATTTTTTAAATATGTACTTTTATATATGTATATATGTTATTTTTTTTTTAGGCATTTTTTTGGGCCCAAAATCTACAAACTTTTAATTTGGGTTTAGTAATTTTTAATTCATTCTTAAAATCTCTTAAAATCATATTTTTATATTCTTCTTTAGAAATTCCTTTTTTAGAAGAAATATCATCAGTTGCAAGGTCAGAAGTATTAAATGTTATTATAATATCTTGAATGACTAAACCAGCTTTACCCCCATTTGGTCCTATTATAAATGAACGTTCATCTCTATGAACTTGTGATATATTTTGATGTGATTCAATTATTTTATCAAGATTAGGTATCAAACTCATATCCACGCCTCGTTGAAGGCATAAATCAAAATCTAAATAATATATAACATATATAACATATATATTAATTATATATATATTATATAAAAATTAAAATCTTTATTATACATATATATTTTATTTATTACTTACGTGTTTTATACACATTAGTTAATACTGGACCACTATTTTCGGGTGAAATATATTCAACAATTTCAATAAATCCTCCTGGTTTCGTCACCCTGTAAAAAAAAAAAGTTTTTTAGGTCGGTATACTGTAAATAATAATAAAGGCATCATTATACATTATACATTATACAATACCTAATAAGTTCGGAAATCACATAATTCCACTGATCTGCTTTTATTATGAATGACATTACTTCTTGATGCACAAAATCGAATTCATTATCGGGAAATGGCAATCCATTAAACATATCGGCTTCGCAGAATTCTAAATTTTTCGGTTTTATCTATATATATAAAAAATGTACATATTTATTATACGATACGATATACATTTTTATCCAGCGTTCACTTTAATATTTACCTCATTCGGATATACTGGTTTTATATCAATTCCAAAGAAATAAGAATTCTCGTATTTACTTGCTAGATCTAATAACCACGATCCAGGACCGCATCTAATTTATAGATCATTTAAAAAATATTCATTATTCAAGAAATCAAACTAGTTACTTACCCGATGTCTAATACTTTACATCCTCCTTGGATTAATCCTTCTTCTATTGGAACAGAAAAATTATTTTGAAATATATGTTTTCTAAAAAAATGATTAAAATGTTGTCTATCAATATCTTCATCATTATGATTCGATAAGTAATATGTCAACTCCTTTTCTTTATCTAAATTCCGTGATTCGGATTCTTTTGATAATAAGTATTGTGAGTTTTGGTGATGTTTTTTGGAAGAATTTGATAATGTTCTTTTAACTTTTGATTTGTTATTTCCCATTTTTTTTTTTTACAAAAAAAAAGAATGAAATAAAAGATCTTTAAAAATGATCTTTATTTGAGTGTTATTTTTATTTTTATTTTTTTTTTTTAAAAAAAAAAAAAAAAAAAAAAAAAAAAAAAAAAAAAATAAAAACAAAAAAAAAAATAAAATAAAATAAAAAAAATAATAAAAAAATAAAACTAAACTTGAAACTTATTAAATTTTACTAATTTTAATAAAAAAAATTATTAACTTTTGTACGACTTATAGTAAGAACTAAAACTTATTTTTAATAAATATTATTAAAATTTCAAAAATAACAAAAACATAACGTTTTTCCTTTTTGTACTTTATTAAAAAACAAAAGGTATTAAAAAGGTATAATATGAAAAAAATGCAGCCACAAAATGTTAACTACAGTTTTTTTTTATATATAAAAAATTATGTACGTATAATTTAATAAATAAAAGCCTTTTTTCTTTCTTTAGCATAAATTCATACATTTGATACTTTTTTGTACGTTTGATAACATGTTGTTTGATGACTTTTGATGCTTTTGATACGTTTTTTATTTTTGATTACATCATTTTCGTTGAACAGACTTAAGAAAAAAAACATTATTTATGTGTTTATTCAAAACAAATATTTTACGACCAAAATAATAAAAAAAAGTCGTGTAACAACTGTAACATGTTCATTACAAACCCGGAATAGAAAAATTATTCTTGAAAAAAAAAAAAATTTTTAATTTTACTATATTTGCTTATTGTTTTTTTTCCAGATAAATATGCAGGGATCAAAATGCAATGTCAATTTATATGAACCTCAAATGAGAAATTTTTGCATATTCAAATATAAAATTAGTTTAATTTAAAATTATTTTTTATTTATCGGTATTTCTTAATTCCAGTTATTGAAAATTCGATGAAAAATTATTTAAAATATTAATATTTATTTTATTTTATTTTATTTTATTTTATTTTTTTTTTTTTAAAAAAAAAAAGTAAGGGAATGAATATCATCCCTTAAAAATTTTACATGTAAATTTTACTCATTAATGCATAAGAAGAGTCAGGTGAAAGGATTTGCACCTTTAGAAGTTTTTTTTTAAAAAAAAAAAAAATAATAATAATCGGGAAATTCGGAATATTGAATCTTTTGACTATTAGTAACACTTTGTTTACAGTTTCCTTTATTTATATTGTTACACGAGAAAAATTCATCCAATCAAATTCCCTCGATTCCACGTTATTTTTCGAGGGACCCTGCATATATCGTTGTTTTAACTATGTTGTATATATATTTATACATTAAAAAAAAAGCAATGTCTCAATTGTCTCACAATTCAAATATTCTCCTTAATAGGACAGTTTTTAAAACTCTATTTATTGGTAAATTCTAAATTTTTAGATTACATGCAGACAAAAAAACATTACAAAAATATACTTTTGTCATAATAAAGAAAAAAAAAATATGTATAACCCTTGTTAATACAATAAGGGATTTTTTAGTTTTTTATGCACACTTAAAAAAAAAACATGATCATGTATATCAACAGTATAACGTATGTATATGCGAAAATAACATTTACAGTATCTGGTATGTAAAAAACATTTGTGTAAAAACGCGCAAAAAGATTAAAATTCTTTGTATACTTTATTATTTTTCCCTTTTTTAGCTTCATTTTTTTTGAACTGCTACAGAAAATAATTTTTTTGTGAAGAAAAAAGGAAATCCCGTAATATTATAAATACTGTATATCGGAAATATGCAATATGTTGAGTTTTTATGTAAAATTTTCACTTTTTCTTTAGTTATTTTAGTCATTACTATGTGAGAAAGAACGAATTATATTACTTTATTACTTTCTGGTACCATTCTTTAAATATTATGATATATTATTGGTAACATTGATAAGGTACCAGTTACTTTCTTTATGGTCATGATATCAAAAAAAAAAAGAACGAATCGGTTTTCACAATAACTTTCAAAAAAATAATCTTTCTCTTCTTCTCTTTATAAATCAAAAAGATTGTAAATCTTCACCAATAAAAATAAAATTTAGATGAAAGTTTTGTCTAGATCATTCTTTTTAGGTTCATTACGAAATTTTTTTTTTTTTGTATGATTAATTTGAATGATTTTTATTGGATGCTTTAAATATTTTCAAGTTGTTTATACAAATGTTGTTTATTTTTACCAAAATACTAATATTACGTATTATTTTATCATTTTCAAAACAAATTCTTTTTTTATCTAAAAAGGAAATTTTTAAGCTAATATTAATTTGGTAAAAAATTCAAAAAATTCGAATGATTGGCTCAAATGGTTCTGTATAAATAAACTATTTTGATTGGTTTACACGAGTTTCCAATCACATGATTTAAAAATTTTGATCACATGTCTGAAAACCGAATAACTCTATGATTATTTAAAAAAGTATGGATTAACGAAAACATTATAATGTTTATAATGTTTATAATGTTTATAATTCCACTTTTTATTTTATAAGATCCCTAGTCCCTACAAAAAAAAAAAAAAAGATGTCCAGCGAGAATGTCTGGAACGTTCCGGAAAATGTACCATGGTTCCGGACGTCTGGATAATGTAACCGAAGTATGAATAATTCCGGACATCCGGACAATGAACCGAAATATGAATGATTCCGGACGTCCGGGTCTTTATTTATACCTTGATTTATGAAAGAAAATTAAAATTTTTATTGTATTCCTATTGCTACATTCTGAAAAAAAGAAAAAAATTTCTTATAACCCAAATAAATATTGAGGATTGTAAAGTATATTATAGATGAAGAATAATGTACCGAAATGTGAAAGATTCCGGTCATTATCCAGACATTATTATTCAGACAACGAGGGCAAATTCCAGACAAATTCTGAAATTCCTTTTTCATAGGGAGACCGAAAAAAAATTAAGATTTTAAAATCACGCCATTATTAAAACACGTAGAAATTCAGTTTTTTTTTTTTTATTTTATTTTATTAAAAGAAGTGGTTACGCTAATAATCAGGGGAATTTTTAAGTTAAACGTAACAGCAATTACTAAGTATCACTTTGACAAATGATCACGTGAAAATCAAATAACAGCGTTTCATAATACAAAAACAAAAACGCCATCCCAAAGTGATTACCGCATGAAATTACCGTACCACTACGTTAATGATAATCTCGGTTCAAGATTCACTTACTGTATATATTTGATGTTTCTTCCCAAATTTTATAAAGTGAGACATTTCTAGTAATCTAGTTGAATGATAATTGCTCATTCTATTCCGCGTTTCTTTTCTGAATGCATTTTTGTATAAATTTTAATAAAGTTATTATAATTATTGTTTAACAAAATTTAAAAACTGTAATTTATGCAAATTCAGGAAAATGTCCAGTTCGGAAAATTGGCATTCAGGTAATTAAATTATATTCGGGAAATACCATTCAGAAAATCGTACTGTAATCGCATATGTCACAACTCACAATGAAATTATAGTGGAAAAAAAAAATCAAAAAAATTATATTAAATTATTCAAATTCTATTAATATTAAGGGTAATAAAGTAGTACAATAATAACTGTATAATAAATAAGTACATTAATATATTTTTAATAAGAAGACACTTTTAATTTACATTCTTTTGAGCCCAATATCTATTTACTATATGAAAAGTATTAGTTTCTTTAAATTCATTTATAAGATCATAATTTAAATGATTTCTATATTCTTCCTTTGACATTCCTAAAAGAACACTCATTGTTTCAATTGCTATATTAGTTGACATATAACTTAAATAAATGTCTTGTAATGCTAATCCAATTTTACCACCATTTGGACCAAGAACAACTTGTCTTTCTTCTTCATGAACCGTTGTAATATTTTGCTGGGATCCAAGTTTTTCCTTAAGACGAGGTGTTATTTTTATATCTACATTTCGCTTTAAACCAGAGGCGTAATCTAAAAACATACAGTATGAATGAGAGAATTCTATTATCAAGTTTTTTTTTTTTAAGAAAGGACCGAATAATACTTACGTCCATCTTCAAGAATTTTATAAAAAACTGGACCTATGCCTTTATATACAGAAAAATTTTGCTCGCATATTTGAATATATCCACCTGGGCATGTTACTCTATAAAACAAATATTTAAAATTGATATAAAAGAAAAATTTTATATATACATATATAAATTATAAATACCTAACGAGCTCAGATAGGATAAAATCCCATTGATCTATCGTCCAAATAAATAACATTGTTTCCTGATTCACAAAATCAAATTCGTTATCAGGAAATGGTAATCCATTCGATACATCTGCTTGAATAAAATTTAAATTTGATGGTTTTATCTAAAAAAAAAAAAAATATTAGCAAAAGTATTAATTAATGTATTATAATGTATTATATAAATTTAATATCCCTTTAAAAGTAATTTACCTCCGTTGGAAATATTGGCTTAATATCCACTCCAAAAAAAGAGGATTTCTCGTGTTTGGCTGCTAGGTCTAATAACCATGTTCCAGGACCACAACTAAAGAATATGGTATAAAAATATATATTATTAATAAAATTATTTTAAAAAATATCATATAATTTTCTTTACTTACCACTTTTTACTTACCATACATCTAATACTTTACATTCTCCTCTATTTAATCTCTCTTCAATAGAAGCAGAAAAACTACCTTGAAAAACTTCTTTTTTTACAAATGTATTATTGTGTTGTCTATCAACGTCCGTATAATTATTTGGTAAATAATATTTCAGTTCTTTATCTTCTTTTACTTCATTTATTATTTGAGGCTTAACCTCTGTCGTAAGTTTTGTTTGTTTTTTAATTTTTGACTTACCGTTTCCCATAGTTTTTTTTTAAAAAAAAATGATTATTTATTACTATGTTATTAATCTTTTATTACAATATTTTTATTTCTTTAAAAAAAAATGAAATGAAATGAAATGAAACGAAATAAAAAAGAGTTTTTATGCACGTCTGATTTATTTATTTACCTGTTATTAATCTGTTATTGTTAATTTTAATCAACTGTTAAAATTTTATTTTTGAGATAAATTCCGGAAAAATTGTTTATTTTTTTTTATGTAATATTATTGGATACCATGATTTTTTTTAATTTTCTATTTTAAAAAATCACCTATAATTTAAATTATTATTTTATTATCTAAAACTTTACTAACCTTACTAATATTAGGCATATTTCAATTAATTATTAGTAAGGGTTCGGTAATGTCCCAAAATGGTGAAAATACCCGATGATATGGCAGATCCAAACCAGAAAATTTTGAATCACAGGTTCAAAATAGTTAAACATGAGGTTCAACAAGGGTTCAATAGGGATTTAATAAAGTTATTATTTTGATTTTTTCATGTATTACCCAATTAAAACTACGAAAAACTTTATTTAATTAATAGGATTTGCTGAAGATAGAATCAGCTGTTGATGAATTCAGGAAAATCATCATCTTTTTCGTTTTTTACCATTTTCGTTCATTTTTTTTTTTTTACCTTTTTCTACTTATATAGTATCTTATTGTAATTTATTGTAATGTATTTAATTACANTTTTTTTTTTTTTTTTTTGACATTTCGCGTTTGTTTGTTATTTATTTATTTATTTTTAATATTAATTTCTTTGTTATACCGAAAATATTGAAAAAAATTTTAAAAATTTGTTTAATAATTTAAATTTCCCTTTTAATCAAATTTTTACTTTTCGTGATTTTTCGTAATTGTTTATCTGTTATGTTGATATATCAAAAGAGATTCTAGACCAAAAATTCGTTACACGACTTTTATTGAAAGAAAATCCGAAATATTATTTATGAAACGTTACTATTTTTAAAGTATAATGATTTTCATTATTTTCATTAAAAATCATACCACTTATTCAATTGTTAATATTTTGATTGAAAAAACATATTTTGTATTCGGTGTATCCGATCTTAGTATGGTATGATTTGTAAAATAGTATGTATATTGCATTTTTTGTTAGTACGTATGATTTTAAATCGCACGTACTAAGGTTGGTTGTCGTAAGTAACGATTATTATATATCGAATTACAACCTTTAGCGGTTGTAATATTATAAACGTAAGCTGTAAATTGGCTGTAAATACTACACTATTGTGGTTAGTTAAAAGATGGTAATTCTGATTTACAAACATTATATTTACTTGACTTTTGGACTTCAACTATTTACGGAGACCAACACTAGTAGTACGTACTACTTTGATTGTTAAATATAGAAAAATTGTACGTATGTAGTGAAAAAAATTTCATACATACGTATATAAATCATACTTTTTTTACCAGCCTCGTCATACACCTTTTCGATTGCGCTCGCTCCTTCTTTAAAATTTCACTCGTTTATACGTAATAAAAAAATTTAAATCATACTATCATACATACATATTATTATATATTGTGATAAGTATATATGTACCATAAAAAATCATACATACAAAGTAAAAAATTCCACAAACATACTATACTAATATTATATATCTCTTTTGTGTTACTCCAGAAAAGCCCATACTTATTAAAATTAAATAATCATCCATTATGTCTAAACCCTTTTTCGCAAGATCATATTACGTACCAATTGAGTGCATCAACTGGAGGTTTACTTGCAATGAAGTAACCCACTATTCATTCTTGCTGCTTTTTTTGCGTGTTAAATCTTTTCAATGTCGTCGGATAACTCCTTCGGATCCCGAATAACAATATTTTAAAAACAATTAAAATTAAAATTCACTACATAATTGTTTTACCCCTAATTCTATAACACTTTTTTATTTCCCTAATTCTAACTTTAACCTAAATCTAACATTCTTGTCTAATCTGGTCTAAGTTTGTTACTTCCCAAGATTCTGTTGTTTTGAAACCCATTACCCAGCACGGAATTATGCAGGAAGACGTGGATCGATTGCTTCGCTAATTGCAGGAAACAATTAGGGCACGAGACAGTCGAACTCCAACCTAACTCCAACCTAACTCCAACTTAACTCTAATTCTAACCTAACACTAACCTAACTCTAACCTTAAAATAGATCACAAGGAGGATAATAAAATGGATCAAAAAGATGATGTGTTCTAGTATCTACCATTTCTTTTATTTCTTTCCATAATTCGTAAGAAATTACTTGATTGTGACTAAATTCAAAATCAAATTGTTTCAAAGTTCTCTTTTCCTTGATGTAATCTCTAATAATTCTCAAATGACGATTTGTAAATATTTGATTCAAATTAGGAATACTCAACTCTTCAATTGGTGCTTGACATTTGTCAAAGAAAGTTTTTAAATCTTGCTCAGATACTGCACACGCAATACGCAACTTGCGTAAAGACGCAGGAAGGTATGGAGCCAATCTATCTATGGCAATATACGGTACTGAATAAGAATGTTCTGATCCTAATGTTAAAGAAGTTAAATTTTCCCAAGGATAGGATTCAAATACTTTTACGAGTTGTGTATAATACGAGTAAACGTCCTAGAATTAATAGAAGCACGTCAATAAATGAACATAAAATTTTTCATGAAAATAAGACCAATTTCTCTGTAATTTTACCAGAATCGCAAAGAGCTTAATGTTTGGGCAAAATTTGGCAAGAGCATTTAAAATTTCATTAGTATCAGTAACGTCTCTTACTCGATTCGCGGGGAGGCAGAGTACAACTTCTTTAAGGGTTTTATTTGCACCTCTAATGAGAGATACAAAATATTTATAATGATTATATACATTCTCTTTCCAAAAGATCTTTCTCAATTTAAGACCTTCAGATTCTGACACCTGTTCTTGATCTAATTTATGACAAATAAATCGACATCTTACTAATTTAATTTCTTCTAAATTTTTACATTCAAAAAGAGCGTTGAATGAACAATCGCTAAGTTTAACAGCATATAACTCCAAGTACACTAAGGTTTGAGGTATAGATTCCAGAAATGATTGCAGGTTTGTACGACCCTGTGCATATTTAATTGTTAAGTATTTAAGATCTTCTTGAACATTAATTAAATTTGATATATAGGTCTCTTCTATCTCTGTGTCTACGATTATTCCAATCTTAGAAATATTACGAGACGAATATCCAAGTATATTCAAGAAGCAGATGATTTTAGCTCGTTCTGCATCCCCATAAATTCCTTTTTGAAAAAAATTAAATACGGTTATATCAGAAAATGCTGTATGACATCCTGGTATAAGAACAATATCTGGAATAGTTGAATTTGAAGAAAATAATGACATGTTTAACACATCTAATTTGTTACAACTTGCAAGAAGTTGTTTAAATACTGCAAAAGTTAATGCTTTCTGATGAAGGGCAAATACTGGATGATTTGGATCTTGTTGAAAAAATGTATCTCTAAAAACTATTTTCATAGATCCACTATCATCTTCAGAACATTCATCAGAACTTTCTTCAGAACTAACTTCTAATTCTGATTCTGTTGGTTCATATTCCTCATCAGAAATGTCATCATCATTATATTCCATATTTTCGAAACAATTCAATGAAAATTTATCACTAGAATCTGAATCATCCTCATATAAAAGCCATTCAAGTGCACATTCTTCAATTTTTCGATAAAAAATTTGTTTTAAATAAGAAAAATATGGAAGTTTAAAGTTTGGAGTTACAAGATTTGGAATCTTCAAACCTTTCTCGTTAAGTTGTCGTATTTCTTTATGTGGTAAACTTGATACGTAGACTTGAAAAAGTTTTACCTTTTGAATTTTCGAAGTCAACGAAAAAGGATCTTTCCATAAATGTTGAGCGGCTAAATTGCACCATAAGTGATTTACAAATAGACATGAAAATAAAGTATTTTTATCATTTGCTAAATAATTAAAGACTAGATTAAGACAGTCAGGAACAAGAACTGGACTTTTATTTAAAATATTACTATTGATTTTGTCCATAATTGAAGTCAATGTAAAACTATTATTATTATTATTTTAATAATGACCATCGAGTGGCTTATTTAAATACTTTATTAATCATGTGATACCTCGCGTCCTCGCGTCACAAAAATTGTTTAATCATGTGATACCTCGCCAGTAGCACAAAAATTATTTTTGTCGCAGCACAATTTTTATGTCTAATAGTGAGATTCGATAAATTTGCTCAGAAACTTGTATTGATTGATTGATTAATTGATTAATTAAATGATTATATGATTACTCATTAGATTATTTCTGTAATAATATTTGGTCATAGTTCATTAATATGATGCATGAAAAAATTTGATTTATATAATTGATAAAAATCTAATAAATTTAGTAGTATCGCGAAAAAAAATTTTTTTTAACCTTCTATTTTCTCTTTTTTGCTTTTACATGTTCACAATGTCTGAAGAACAGTTATGTTCTAATGATAATGAAAAATATTATTATGATGATTTTCAAGAAAGGGAAGATAAAGTCAATGAAGCACTAAATAATTTTTCTCAACGCTCTTTCACACAAAGGGGAATCGTAAAAGAATCATTGGTATATAATCTTTTAGAAACGGCAATGGATAAAGGACGCGAAATTTTTCAACACCCACGTGATTATTCTAAACCGATTATCAAGTCGGTTAGATATGTTTGGAATAATTTTCCTCCTCTAAGTTGGTTTGGTTATGGTGTAGCAGTTTTAAATGTTATTCCTTTAGCCATTTTAATCACCTTTCTTATCGGTACTCTTACTCTTGTCTTATTTGTCAGTGGAATGGGTATTTTGTTGGCAGAAGGATTTTTCGTTGGGATTGGTTTGTTATTCTTTGTTCCTGTCGCACTTTTTTTAACCTTTTCAGCAATCTCGACCACTTTCTTTACCGTTTCTATTTGGAGTGTTTACAAAATGGCAGTTTATATTTTACATAATATTGGTTTGTTGGGAGGAGATACTCTATATGATGAACAAAAACAACAAAAAATTCAAGAGGAGGAAGAATAACAAATTATCTGATCTTTAACGATTGTATTATGTTCATTTGTAACGTTAGTGAGTTTATCTGAATCATAAAATGACTCCTTGATTTACTACAAAATAGCTTTGCTTCTTGCTGTATAATTAGTTTTATTAAATAAATATTTCTTAGTAATCTTCAACCTAATAAAAATTAATCTAACGATTTTTAAAAAAATTTTGAGATGTCGTGTAACTATCACATAAATATATAAACAAAATAGCCGTTCTTTTCAGCTTTATCGATCAAAAAAACATTTTTTATTATTTATACTTTTCAATTGAATTCGTTATATGGTAGGCAATATATTTATTAATTTTTTATTTTATTTTAACAATACAGATTTATGAAAGATTTAACATTATATTAGAGTGAATGCACGTATGATTTTGGACCTTGAAAATGAATATCTTTCTCATGATTTTTTTTTTATTTTTTTTTTAGATAAAAGCCGTTACAAAAAAACGGAAAAAAAAATAATACTTTTTATTTATTAAATACTCTTTATTCTCGTCTTAAATTAAAATATAGTTAAAAAAATTTTTTATTTTATTCATACCTGTTCTTTTACTTATTTTATTTATAATAATAATAATATCAATAAAAAAAAAATAATAATAAAAATGTTTAAATGGTCTAAAGCACCAAATAATTCTGATAAAATTGATTTAGGAAGTCTTGGTATAGAAGGACTTGATGATTTAGATATACCTATGAATGATGATTTTGATGAAATGGATTTAAATGATCCAGATTTATTGGTATGACTTTTTATTTATTTATATTACTAATAGTAAATGAATATTATAAATATGATTGTTTTTCTTTTAAATTTTAAAGGGGGAATTAAATGCTTTAAGTTCAAGTATTCAAAGAAATAAACCAAAATCAAAATCAAAACCACAACCACAACCACAACCTCAAACTAAATCTAATCTTACATCAATCCCAAATTTTCCTGGTGATGTTGATATTGATGCAATAAATGCTTTGGGAGCAGAGAATGATGATCATGAAGTTGAATTTACTGAAGATGATATGAAGGATCCAAATTTGTTAGTACGTTTTTTTTAATAGTTTTATTTTTATTTTTATTTTTATTTATTTTATTTTATTTGATTATATTTTATTTTTATTTTATTTTCATTTATTTTCATTTTATCTTCATTTTAATTTTCATTTTTATTTTGATTTTGTTCTATTTTTATTCTGATTTCTAATTTTTGTTTTTATTTGATTCCTACTTTTTTTTTTTTTNTTTTTTTTTTTTTTTTTACTTTAATTTCTACTTTTTTTTTTATTTTTATTTCTACTTTTTATCTTGATCTTGATTTAATTAAGATAATATATTTAAACGATTATACTAACTTAGTTGATAATTATAGAAAGAGTTACAAGGATTAGGAGGCCATCAAAATGATGAAGAAAAAATTGAGGATGTGAAAAAAATTACTGCAACAGAGAAAATTGTTGTACAGGAAACTCAGACTAAAGTTAGTAAAGATAACAGTGAATCTCTAATAAGTCAAAGTTCGGAGTTGCAAGTCGTTGAAGAGCAATCAATTGAAGATAAATTACAATCAAATGATGTAGACCTTTTAGCGAAATATATACAAGAAGAAAAATTCAATGCTCTTATGAAAAAGCGGGAAGGTGACAAAGCTGGAGCTGTAGAATCAGTGAAAGCATATAAACAACTAGAAGCGAAACGAGCTCAGCTTTTGTCACAAAGTAAACAAGTTTCCGAAATTGAAGTTAAATCAGAGAATATTCAGGTTGATATTAGTGCACAGCAAAAAACAGAAATTTCTTCTCGAAATCAGGAGATCATTGATATTTTAAATAAAAAGTTTATGCAATATAAGGAGGCGGCTATTAAATTTAAAACCTCCGATATTCCGCGCGCAAAAGAGTTTCTTAATACAGCAACAGATATCCGAAAAATAATGAAATCTTTAGAAAATGGTGCCAATTTACCTGAAGGGTGGGGGATTCCCGGTGATCCTGACGTGTCTCAACGTGAACCTGTACCACAAAGTCCACCCACCATACGAAAAAATGCATCAACGAACGTAACGCCAGTATCGACTCCAAAAAAAAGAGTATTAACAGTATTAGATAATGCTATTAATGCGAGTATCATTGATGATGACGAACAACCATTTACCATGGTAAATTTAAATAGATATTATTTTATGGCATTTTTATTTTTTTGTGGTATTTTACGATATTCTAAAATTATTTTATTTTTTTTTTTTTAGATTTCAACGGAAGAACAGTATGCGCGTCTAATATCTCAATTAGAATCACAAGTTGCTTTATGTACTACACTATCAGCTTATTATTTGAAAACTGGAAATAAGGTTGAAGCTACGACTTTTTACCGTTATAAAAAATCTTTTGCGGCTGATCTAACTTCATTGATTTCATATCGTACGCACGGGAAAGATGTACCAGCGTTTCATTTTCAAGACATAACATATAGTATTGAAAATGCTTTCTTAGAATTATCCGCAAATGATATGGAAGTTTGCATTGTTAGAGCCTATAATCTAGGCAGTAAAGAAGTGAATGGAAAAGATGTTGATGCATTCGTAAGTTGGGATATTGGATGGCCAACTGAAGGTAGTCCTGGTGCTGGTAGTGGTAAAGGCGATACTTCAACTGCTCCACGTGGAATGGATCCAGGTTTAAAATTATTTAATTTTTAATAAAAAATTTACTAATGTTATAAAATTTACTAATTTCCATAATTTCCTTTATAAATTTAGTATTTAATTGGAAAAAAGTTATAAACATAGAACGGACAAAAGCATTTCAACGTTATGTGAGCTCCAAAAAAGCTACTTTTGAAGTATTTCATTATAGAGGATTTTTACGAAAAGCCATTTCATTAGGAAAAGCTACCATTAAGTTGGAACAATTTTTAAATAAGGCCGAAATTCATCAAGTTTTAGATGTATGTGATAATTATTTTAATTAATATTATTTATTTATAATATATATAATCAAATAATTTAATGTTATTCATTATCAGCTAGTAGATCACTTACGGAAACCTACAGGTGGAAAGTTAGAAATTCGTTTAAGAATACGAATACCCTTAACGAAAGCAGATATTGTAGCTAAGACTGAAAAATGGCTTATTATAGATGAGTTTAACACTAATAATTCAACTTTTGCTAGTTTACAATCTACTACTCAAGCATCAACATCAGCTCCAGTAACTCCTATTAGAAATACTTTACAATCAGCTCCGGTAACTCCTATTAGAAATACTTTACAATCAGATCCGGTAACCCCTATTAGAAATACTTTACAATCAGATCCACTAGCTGCTACTCCAAAGACACCACAACAAACACCAATCAAACCAAAAGTCACATCTACACCAAAATCATCAGTTCCCCCAAGTACACCTATTTCTGTTAAAAATGAAACTCCTTCCCAAATATCAACTCCTGTCCCACAACAAAAAGCAACTCCACATAGAACAGTTGCAGCAGCAACTCCAAGTCGTGATACGATTTCAACAGGTAGCGAACAAAATGATTTGGAGCAAGCAGTAGAGCAATTAAACAAGTAATTTATTTTTTTTTTTTTTAGTTAAATGATATATTGATTATTTGAAAATTTATTAACATATGTATTATTACTAGTGTTGATGCCCTTGTTTCTAATCTTGTAATACAACATGAAGTTGAAGCAGTTGATGCTCAAATTGCAACATTGGAAGCACAACATAAATCAATTCCAGACGATTTAACAGATAGGAAAAATGCTTTAGAGATTAAGCAGAATTTATTAGTTATACAAGTACAAACTGGACAATTGACAATGGATAAATATTTAGATCAAGTAAGAATAAGTATTGTAGATTGTAAAAAGTTGGCTTTAGTATTTAAGAAAGCGAATAAACTTGATGAAGCAAAGAAAGCACTTGGAAGAAGTAAAATTATGGAAGGAGAAGTTAAAGAAGTAGAAGAAGCCATGGCTAGTGGTGCCATCGAATAATGTAATAAAATGGTTGACCCCGATGTATTATAGATTAGGTTTTTTGTATTTAATAATAATTATTAATTTTTTTTTATGATATGATGTATTATTTATTAAATTATACCTAAACATTAATAAATATTATTATTCAATGATATTTTTTCATGTTAATGTTTGGTCAGCTAATAAAAACAAACGTTCATAATGTAACATTATTAAACCAATATTTCTTTTTTATTATATTAAATTTATTATTTATGAATTACAGTCGTTATAAAACTAAGTTTAACCAATTAAAAATTAATCATGCATTACGGAATAACTTGTAACCGTATTTAGTAAGGAATATGTTAGACTAACGTCCCAATGTTGATTTACCGTTCCAAGACAAACAACAAATTCTTCGAAGACCACCATACTGATCGTTAATGTTGTTTCTAACATACATTCATCTCTCTTATTTAACCATTTCGCTTTAGTTTAAATATTACGTTTTAGAATTTGTTCCTGCATGAATAAAATGCTAGTTGAGTTTGAGTGCAATTTCGAAATCTTATAACTCCTATTGTTGCACTTTTGTCCAAAAAAGAATATGATTCATCAATTTTTACTATTGTGTTATTATTACAAGACCTTATCTGTTATAACTCACATGTACTTTACGCCATCGTTGTGTTATCTTTAAACATATTGTATTAACAATATTTATCGTAATAGGTAAAGTGGTACATAAAGCAAGATCCCTTGTTAGACAACAGAGTTATTATGTCCTCATCTGACTCGTTTAAAAAAAGAAGAAAGGATAATAATTAATTTTAGTAAAATTTTATGTATATGATCGAAAAAAATCGAATTTTTTTTAGGGTTTGTTATATATTATTCCAAAACAATCCAATAAATATATTATGCTAAACTTTTTTTATGATATCAAAAGGTATTATTAGAATAAAATTTTTTTGGAGGACAATCATTTCCTTTTAAAGATTACAGGAACAATCTTAACAACGTCAGATAATACAAAGGATATTTTAGTATTTTTCCAACAAAGGGTTTAAACACTTTGTTTTTTGCCTTTTTTTGTAAAAATTGACAAGGAGATAATACTTTAACGGTATAGACAATCTTTTGATTCTTTATTATTGAAATCATATATAAGAATACGAAGTATTTGCATTCTAAAAAAAAAAATAAAAAAAAGATTTTCTCTTTTTTTCAAAATACGCACAAAAATTAAAAAAATAAAAATTCAACCAAGTAAATCTTGTTTCTGCTTTGGATCAGAGCAATTTATATATAGATAAATAAAAAAAAAAATCATTATTAATAATATCAATATGTCTCGTAGAAATAATAGTTTAATCTCCAAAGTAAGTAAAAACTTCTTTTAATTGGATACTTTATCACCGTTTTCAAACAATGTAGCCTGAAATTAGATTACTGGAGGGTCTCAAATAATAAATTTTTTTTTTTTTTTTTTTTTTTTATTTATAAATTTTAATTAATTTTAATTTTAAATTAATTAATTTTTTTCATTTAGGTAGGGAAATGTATAAGAAGATCAAGATCAATTACCAGCAATATTAAAATAATTCCAGATACATATAAAAGTTCTCGCATATCATCGGAATCACAATTAAGTGAATTAGATGAATTAGATGAATTGAATGAATTGAATGAATTCAATACAATAATCTCATATCCGAATAGATATCACTACTTTCCAAAAGCAATGGTTGTAGTGGTAGAATCACTTGCAGTTCACAAGGTTCCCGAATTATCAAAAAAACGTTGGGGTTACGTTAATGTACCTTCATCTAACACTAATTCGGAAGAATCAAATATTGATAATATTGATCAAGAAGATTCTATAACAAGTGAACAAAAAAAGAAAATGAAACGATGGGGTTTTGTAGCTCCGATAGTTGGCATACCAAAAAATTTTCCTATATTTGATTCAAATCCATCACCAATAAAACGAAGGTTTTATTATTACATATGAAAAACATTTAAGTTTTAAATGTATTTTTTATTTATTTTAATGTAATTTTTTTTTTTT